GCAGATACCACTCGGACATGGCGTTCATAATGTTCGGCCGCAGCGAGAAGTTGGTCGAGCTCCAGGCGCTGGCCAGGATCACATTCGAGTTGGGATGATTGTTGAGGAACGTCGGTATCAGCAAATTGAACAAGTCCTGCCGCAGCGGTGTCAGTGGTGGATTTATGTGCAGCAGTGCCAAAAACAGGACGTCCGGGCAGTTCTGTGCAGGGAACTTGAACAGCTCATGGACCTGCGTGTAGTAGCCCTTGTCCGCAATAGAGAGCAGGACCTCGACAAGGTGGAGGGACTTCCAGGCCGAAATCTCCTTATTGTCCGCATCCGGTGCCGTCTTCAGGACATCCAGCGTTGGCTGACTGAACACAAAGTCGGCAAAGGAGAACAGATCCGGATTCTTTAGCAGCGTAGAGATCAGCGACAGCTGACCCTCCGTGTTGGCCCAGTGGCGGTAAATGCATTCTGGATGTGGAAAGATGTTCGACTGTGTGGCCAGTCGCAGAATTGTCAACAGCAGGTCCAAGCCGATGCGATCCTTCAGCACAAACTCGGGATGATCGAGCTCTGAAATTTTCGAAAGCGTCATTGAATGGAATGACAGATATTGCTTACGCTTGCTAGTCCCTAGCCTCACCAATGCAAACGTCCTTCCAGTTGAGCTGTGGCACCAGTTCCTTGAGTGCCTGCACAAAGACATCCGGCTTCCATGTCTGTGTGGCATCTGTCGTCTCCTTCTTGTCCTTCTTATCACTGGACGAGCTGCCTCCACCGTCGCTGGCTCCATCGTTGTTGTTACTGTTGCTGCTTGAGTTCTGTCCCTGCTGCGCTGGGGTGGCCTGTGCTTGTGACGAGCCCCCGCTACTGTTGCTGCCACCGCCTTGACCCTGTCCAGGCCAGAAATTAGCTGGCGTCGGTAGATTTACATTACAATCGAGCAAAGACGAGTGCCGCCGGCACATGAGACCAACGATTTTGGCAACATCTTTTGGCTGGAGTTCGGTGCGCTCTCGTTCGCGAGAGCACAGGTGATTTTTACACTCTTCGACGCTCGATGTAAATTCGTAACCGATTTCAAGGATTAGATTAATCCAAGATGTGTCCATAATATTATTTTTACCCTGCAAAAATGTATCCGAATATTTGATTATGGCATGGGATGGAACAAAGTACCTTCTATTCTTGTACCCACCTGGTTTGTGAATATTATTTCGCTTAAATGATCATAGATATCCTCGATTCCAACCTCATTCAAGGCATCCGTGCCGCAACTGTTGCTGCTGGTGCTGGGGCTGATGCTGCTGCTGGCCGTCTCTATCTCTGTCGTTGTCGTTGCCTCAGCCTCTGCATCAGTTTCGCTGGCGTTGGCCCTAACTGGATTCGAGGTCGCCGCCGTCGTTGAGCCGTAAAGGAATGGCGCCAAAATCAAAGGCACCGCCTGCCGCGGAAACTCCTCACGTAGTTTGATCAAAAATTGCTCGTGCAGCTTCGGCGTCACGTAAATTTTGAGGCAGCACAGCAAATACTGCAGAAGATCGATCGATATATCTTGCAGTCCACTGGTAGCTGAGGAGCTGTTGTTGTTCCCCAAATAGGAATCGAGCAGCTCGGTTATGGAACCTCGCAAGCAGTCTCTGGCCGATTCTCGAAGCTCTGGATGCGACGAGTGGGTCACCGCCAAGGCAAATACGCACTCGCAGAGCTTGTTTATGCCGGTCAGTCTGCACACCTGGCCAATGAGCTCTGCTGTCTCAGACGGCTTGAGAGACTGATCGAAGAGAGGGATCAAGAATCCATTTCGCAATGGAAAAAATGTATGCTTACTTACCTTTTGGCTGTTGGCAAAGTGCTGGTCAAACGCGAAGCAGATGTTGGACACAAACGAGGAGCTTTGCAACTGCCGCTGCAACTGGCCACCGAGTAATTTGGCTTGCAACTGGACGGTGACGGTCGGCGATGGGTCACTGAAGTTGATCGCAGTGAACAGATAGCGCAGACTGCTACGATCAGCTTCCAGGCCGTGGTCTTTGATGAACTGCAAGGAGAGTGGAAGAGGGGACAGAGAATGGCATTGGTAATTGAAGCGGAGCACAGGATTAGGTAGGACCTGCGCCCGCACTGCTGCGCCAGGAGCAGCACCTTCTTGCAATTGCAGAGTCATATTTATAAAATATTGAGAGTGGCCGATTTTTATTGAAAACTTTTGCAATTTTGACGGGCACTAAGACCTGTCGTGTCTATTTAATAACAAAACTTGATTTAAAGCTCCAGGCTCCTTTAAGGGCTGTTTCGTTTCGAAATTTACGTTTGCTCGAACGGTGACGGTGGGGGGGACGGAGACCCAAGGTTTCGTTTCAGTTCAGATTTGCTTTGAAGGTGCGCGCAGAAGCGAGACAACAGCTGTGACCGTGTGTCGTCGCAGCTGCTGCACAACAAAAAAAAATTACACACAAAAGTACTCGACACTCACATTCGCTCAACTTTCAACGTTACATGGAAAAAGAGGTGCGGGAGAGAAGAGGAGCTGAAGAAAAAAGACTGCCAGCAGATTGTATTTTCAGCAAAAAGAAAGTGGCCTGGTCGCAAATATTATACACCATAACTATTTAATAAACTTACAACTTCCAATGGCTTGGTCAACTATGCGCCCAATAAAAGGAAAAAAGGGGAGTGAGGGTAAAAACCCTTTGGCTTGGGCTATAGTTTCCCTTTTCGTTGTTCGTTTTTTCAGCTCGGTTCCGTAAAATTTTCGTTCAAATTTTCACAGCTCCCACTCCGTGCAGCAGGCTGCATTCACGTACGCGGTAAATTGTAACTAATTCATATAAATTTATACATTTTAAATAACTTTTAACTTAAACAAACCGGGAAGAAATCGCACAACGCTGTGCAGAGAAATTTTTTCTGCCTACTTCCACAAAAAACTGTAATGGCGTCGGCAAAAATGCACGAGCGAGTGAAATGGCAATATATTGCCACTGAGTCAATTGGCAACACTGGCCAAGGTCCGATATGTGCTAACCAGTGCTGCCATTTTAGCTTATTTTAAGCTAGAATTTACAAAATGCCAAAAGTGTTTTATAAACAAAATTTCCATGAATTTAAGGAGGGGCTACGCAACTGATCCCACAAAAGCGTACTACTGCTTTTGTAAAGCAACAATTATCCATTATTTTGATGTGTTTTTATGGTTAGCTTCTTTTTTAATTTTTAGCTTATTCTATTCTTCAATCTAGCTTATGGTGACTCTCAAAATCTGGCATCACTGGTGCTAACCTTCGCAACACTTGAAATCGGTTTTTCTTGTTGTTTTTGTTGACAAATTGTTTTCTTTCTATCCCAAAATTGGTATTGAGGCGAGAAAAACATGAATAAATCTGAACGTACCTGGTTTATTTGCTCGCTGGTTTCATTAAAATTTCGCTTGTTCACGTGTTTGACCAAATTACGAAGCTGCGTTGGCGGTGTTTTCAAGTTCTCTACGTTCATAATTCTACGTAGCAATTGTCAATTCTTGAACGGATGTCGGGGGAGTTATCTTGTTGTTGTTGTTGTTGTTTTTGGGGCAGCCAGAAATTTCGAATACACGACACATCCAATGCCACTGTATTGGTGATATTTGACGTATGTTTTGCTTCTTCTTGCTGTCGATTTTCTTTTCAATTGCGGCGTAAAAGGCTATCTAGTATACCGACTGTTTTCTTTTTTTGACATAGTTTTGTTATATGTATTAATTCTTATTGCATGGCTATGGCTGGGCCCCCGGGTGGGAAGGGGGCCTTCAGCAGCTCTACATCACAAAGAGCATTTATTTACACACTTTGAACGATAAAAAGATGAAGAATCGGCCTTCGTTCGTTAACTAAAACTGCCTCGTCCTTGTCTTGTCGAAATATTGTCACTGGCTCACGTAATAAAATAATATGAATCAATCCGCACACCTACAGCAAAAACAGAAATGAACTCGCGCACACACACAAGCACAAAGAGATATATTTCTTGGCTCCGGTTCGTCAGGTCCTCAGGCGAGCCTCGCTGTCCACGTTACACTTTTTACTTTTATATTCTTTTAAATTCGAAATTTTAAGATTCGATCGACAGACCACTGGGAACTCCCAAAACAGTTGTTTGCACTCCTCGTTGATTTTGTAAATGATTTCCAGTTTTCCCTCAGAAATATACCGAAAATACGTCACAAAATTCAAAATATATCGTAAATATACTGACGCATGATTTGTATTCATATTCCTCGTTTTCGATATTCGGTTTAGGATTACTAGCTAGCTAGGACCCTCAGTTCAGAACTCATAGTTTTATCCGATTGATAAATCAATTTCCTACCAAACTGGCTAATTAAGGTAATCATATTTATGGCGAATGATCAGGAATTTCAATTCGATGCTGATCATGCAATTTTATTCCATGTGGGCCTCTTAAAATATACTAGAAAATACTATGAAAAGTGTAAAATTTGCATGGTGTGTGAGCTACACATGGTGGTCAAACTAAAATAAGGTTTAAACAAAACAGAAGTGCGAACGGTATAAAACGTAAGAGTATGGGATGTAGGGCAAGTTTTGCGATGAAAACGGGAAATGTGCCACAAAATATGGGTAATTTTACAGTAGAATTCATTTTGGGAAAATGAACCATTGGAAATCGATAATAGCGATAGGTGGTTTCGTGCGTTTCCACTACGATTGGAATTACTTCCACATCCCACAATTCCGCGCTCCAGCTAATACCGAAAAAGCGAATTTGGATGTAGCATTATTTGTGCCAAAAACAGTGTATAAATAGTATGGCCTTCTGCTTTGCCACCAATTCAATAACAAATCCAAAGAAGTGCACTCTCTTTCCAAAACGTTCTTATAACTGCTCTCAAAGCCTTTCAATTGAAATGCAGTGGAAAACGACTATTACCAGGAATCAAAAAGCAGTGTTGGCTTCCGTTTGCGCCACATATGTTATCGGTGCACCCACGCATTCTGATCAGAATCTGTCCCCCCACAGTAGTGTACATAACAACTGGACTTAATTAACAAACAATTTAAATGTGTACTGCAGCTGGTCCAATATTCAGCGCCATATTGAGACAAAATGTGCACCTGCGTAACGTGTACGCGGTCAGGTCGATATCAGAACCGAGATCCCAATCACAATGCCGCGGCCTGAGCACGGATTCTGGAGCAGCCGTTACAAGGGCTTCTCCTGGAGCGACAGGAGCTCCAAACAGTGTAGCCACAGCTCTAGCTCAATTTTCGAATCCCAAAACAGTGAGTGATTTCCAAGAGCTCTACAAATCCACAAAAAAGAAGTTTCAATGTAAGCCTTAACCTGTCGTAGCGTGGGAATATGCAGTTCGTGTGCACAATTCTATAAATAGTCCTCCCCCCAGTATAGTGCGCCTACTTGACATCCAAACGCTTGACCTTTTCAGCCAAAAAGCTACCCGTGGACGTGCATCCAGATGCTGTGTTCGCCTGCAACGAGCTCGATCTCAGCGAGGTGCAGGTGTATGGCTTCGACTATGACTACACCCTGGCCTGCTACAAGCCCATTTTGGAGGACCTCCTATACAATTTGGCGCGAGAAATGCTGGTGAAGCGTTTCAGATACCCCGAAGATATTCTGGATCTGGAATACGAGCCGAACTTCGCTGTGCGTGGCCTGCACTATGATGTGGAGAAGGGATTGTTGGTCAAGTTGGACTCATTCCTGCAGCTGCAGCTAGGCTCCGTCTACCGAGGGCGAACAAAGCTCGGGGCCGACGAGGTGCTCAAGCTATATCACAACCGGCTGCTGCCCATTGCCTATGTTGAAGGACCGAATAACAGCTACCGGGTGAGAATCCACTTCGATCTGTACCAATCAGTAGTACTTATCCCTTTTGCTTTGGCAGCACAATACCAACTCGAAAATGGTTCAGTTGGCGGATCTGTTTTCTGTACCAGAAATGTGCCTCCTGTGCAATATAATCGAATATTTCGAACGGAATCGCATCGACTACAACCCGGAGATCGTTTTCCATGACACAAGAACGGCCATGGGCTCCTGCCATCCCATCATGCACGGCAAAGTGATGGTAAACACCGCCAAGTATATTGAACGCAATCCCAAGCTGGTCAAGTTCTTTGAGAAACTTCAGAATGCGGGAAAGAATCTCTTTTTGGTCACCAACAGTCCGTTCTCCTTTGTGTGAGTTCTAGTACCTTCTTTTAATGTAGTTCCCACTAAATGATAGATCTTCTTCTGTGATACAGGAACTGCGGCATGACGTTTCTGGTGGGCGCTAATTGGAGAGATTTCTTTGATGTGGTTATCGTACAGGCGCGCAAGCCAAAGTTCTTCACCGATGAATCTCGGCCCATTCGGCTCTTTGATGAGAAGACGAGATCCCACCTCTGGGATCGAGTCTCTAAGTTGGAGAAGGGAAAAATATACTACGAGGGATCCGTGCGACAGCTGCAGGAATTAAAGGGCTGGCGCGGTCATTCGGTGCTTTATTTTGGCGATCATCCATACAGTGACCTGGCTGATGTCACGCTGAAGCACAGCTGGCGGACAGGGGCAATCATCAGTGAGCTAGCGGTGGGTGTACAACTTGTGTATTCGTGATGATGTTACTCAAATAAATCATTTGTAGCATGAAATTAAGACCCTTAACCGAGAGGACTTTAAGATGAGCGCCAACTGGCTGCAGATGCTGACGCAGCTCATCGAGGACACACAGGACGACGAGAGTGAGCCAGCCCAGGCTTGCCTGCGCGAATGGATGGAGGAGCGGGATCAGTTGCGGTATGAACAACGATACAAATTATAATTCCCAGCCATCAATATTGATCGTTTTTTTGCAGTAACAAGACGAAGAATGTTTTCAACGAGCAGTTCGGGAGTGTTTTCCGCACGTATCACAACCCAACTTACTTCTCGAGGCGGCTTTTCCGCTTTGCGGACATCTACACCAGTGACATAACCAACTTGCTCAAGTTCTCGACCACACATACGTTTTATCCGCGGCGTGGAGTGATGCCGCACGAATATGCCTCGCACTTTATTTAGACAGAGGCCCAGGTAGGCAGGAAGTTTAGTTTATGTAGTCGTAGGACAAAAAGTGCCAGTGCCCAAGAATGCTTGTAGCTCGAAACTAGTGGAATTTATATTGTGTATAGCGTTATTTACATTGTTGCTCAATAAAATCGTTGTAATAGTTCTCGAAGAGCTGCCTTTGCTTACCGGCCAGGTACTCCACCTTACCCCTCATCCCTTGTCTGATTGTGGCAATTGTATTTTCTCAATGCCCATACATCCCACAGATAGGCCAACTGGCTGAGGTACCTCAGTGCCTTCCAGGAATTCCAGTTCCCACTAAGGAATAAATGATTGCCATTATCTTGATATGGGTCAGGCAGCTATGTTATTATCTTACCGTCCATTTCAGCGATGTATGGTTCAATGATCAGTCCCATCATCAGTCCCAGGCCATCGAATGCCTTGTACATGGCTCGCCTTGCTTTGGCCTCACAACAAAAGTCGATGAGAGACAAATATTATTGTACCGGAAGCCCCACTGCATTCGTGGGCTGCATTGAGGCTGCATCAGTTGAGGTTGTTCTGGTGGGGCAGTAACTTTAGTATAAATGCTTGAAAACAGGTTGTTTTTACAGCCAAGCCGAGGGCTGGGATTGGATTATTTCATTGTTGAATCAAAGTAGAAAAATTCATTATATTTACGTATTCCTGGTCTGGATCCGTTCGGGAATAGTTCTCACAGCAGCAGTCAAATTTGTGCTCTTGATGCAACGGCTGCGACTTCTGACGGATAATGCTCTTCTTGTAGTCCATCGTTTAGCAGTTGGAGATATCGTTTTATTTTGTAAGTAAAGATGGAGGATATGATGGATCTAGAAGAATTCTTATTATTATTATTAGCATTATTTTCCGCGGTTTAAATCCAGTTGTTATGCTGTTTAAGTAAAGGGGGCTTAAGTGGTATATTTTATCGATAAGGTGCAGCACTGGTCAAACGCTATATTTTATTTATTCGGAGCAACAATTTCTGCTGACATTTATTAAATCACGAAAAGTCTTCGGCAGGACCAATCAAATCAAGTAGAAAATTGATTCATCAATCGTATAAAATGAAGTGGGCATGGCTAAATGTTCTATATAGCTGGGAATATTCGACGGAAGATAAAAAACGAGTATTTATTGGTGAATAACCGGTTGACAACAATAATTACCGGCAACACTAATTCCCATACCCTAAGGAAAAGGATGTTATAGAATTGAGAAAAGTTTTGTCATCCAAGGCTCCGTAGGTATCAGGATCGAGATAAATATATAAAAGATACTAATAATACACATGAATATGTCTAAGACATATCAATTTGAGAAAAGGTCTTTATAAATGACGTTATATCTTCGCATGATATTAACAAAATGGGGTATACAAAGGCCTATATTAAGGCTTACACGCAACATAGCGATCGTTTTTTGTTGAACTTTTTTCGTTTAAACCCTTTTTTACAATAAATACAATAAAAGCAAGGATTAAAAACCATCCAATCTTGTAGAAAATTGATTCATTAATCGTATAAAATTATGTGGGCATAGATAAAGGCCCGGTTGACAACATTTAAATCCTTGTCGCTCACATTCAAGAAAGTTAGATTTGGCGCGCACCACTCGGTATATTTTTCAAATGAGACCGTATATACTGTAGAAACTGGTTTTCGCCGCGCTCCCATGAGGTGTTTTTTAGTGCTAAATGGTATTTTTGTCTTCTATTAATTTAATTTTCAATGTTATATAGAAATCCAATAAATGCAAGTATTTCGAATAGGCCAATCATGTATAGAATTGATTCATCTAACGTATAAAATTGAGTGGGCATGGCTAAATGTTCCATATAGATAGTATTATTCAACGGAACAAAGAATATGAGAAATTTGAATTCGCCGCAGTTCGCCCCAGTTCGCTTTAGCAACAATGAGTCTCATTCCATACACAAATGTTGCGCATTCCATACACAAAAGTTGCGGCAACATTTACTTGAAAACCGTTTTTTGGTCAAAATAAAATACATAAAGGTAATTTAAAGAAGCAATCTTGTAGAAAATGCATTTATCTATGGGATAAAGCTAAGTTGGCAAATCTATATAGCTTGAAATATAGGCAATACCCGATTCGCCGCAGTTTCGCTATTGCAACAATGAGTCCCATTCCATACACAAATGTTGCTAGTTCCAAGCACAAATGTTGCTAGTTCCAAGCACACATACCCTGGGGGAAATGGATGTTATAGAATTGTGAATATGTTTGTCTTCCAAGGCTCAGTAGGTATCAGGATCGACATAAATATATACAAGATACTAATAATACACATGAATATGTCTAAAGAATATCAATTTGAGAAAAGGTCTTTATAAATCACGTTTCGTCTTCATATAAAATTAACGAAATAGGGTATACAAATGCCTGTACACGCATCATGCTTCAATTACCAGCAACATTACGACTGTTTTGTTGTTGTTTCTTCGGAGCAACAATTTCAATTGATATTTATTAAACAACGAAAATTCTTCGGGTGCAGAGCTATTGCGACTTGGAATAGTAAAGAAACGACTTAAATATTTGAATAATTGCATTTAGAGTACATTGTGATTGTAGCTTATAAAAACAACAATAACAGTGATTTGTGGCGGTTTTAGCGGCGTAGTTCGAGTGGTAAGTGAAATTTATAAATCACGACCAGAGTCAGCAAATAGGGAAATTGCTAAAACAAATTGCGTCATGCTCTTTTTGTCCCTCACGTCCCTTTGGTATATTTATGTTTGTGTATGTCAATAACTGATTGGAACAAATAATGCATTCTAGCAGCATCTAAGCGTCAGCTGCTTTGTTGTTTTTATTCTTTTCCGCATCCCGCATATTCTTCTTTGTTTGGTGTTTATTGCGCTGGCGGCCATTTCTTCGTTTCAGCAAACAGACGCACTTTGCTTTCCCTCCCCTTTGTGTTGACCTATTTTCATTTTTCATTTGTTTTCTGTTTGCTTTATCTACCGTTCGGTTATTTGCAACACCTGTGTTAGGGTAGATGATTCACCTTGAAATCAGTTTCAAAACCAGTTTGTAGCCCTCGAACTTGGCACAAATGATTGCACCAATAATAATATTTTAATCAAATGCCTCTCACGTATTCGAAATGAACCACAAGATCGCAAAAACAATTGCAGCAAATATGGCAGACCAGACTCTTAAACACCACACACACACACACAGCATATACACACACGAAGATAGAAAAGAGCGACACAAAGTGGAATGGCCGATTAGATAGCGGGTATTGTTCGAATTTGAAAACTAAACTAACAAAACAAAGCAAAAACTCCCTCGTTGGCTCGCGATCCGCCCCCTGTATTAGTCAGCATACAATTAAAATGTTATTAGCCAAATCCCGTAAAAGCCCCTGCATCAATCAATGTTTTCGGAATCTCGTGAAATGTGTCTGCTTGCCCCATAGCCAGCTGGACAACTTCACGTGATTGAATGATGCTAAGTTTTCTTACTAATTGTGTGAAATTTTACAGATTTAATACAAAAAATGCGGACAGCATTGATTCTTCCCCTCCTCGCCCTGGTGGCAGTGGCGCAGGCCGTCTCCTATGCCGAGGTCATCCAGGAGGAATGGCACACCTTCAAGGTAAGTACTGTTTCTGATCGAGATTTGTCACCCAGGAAATCCGAGCTAAGCAAGTGTTTTGTGACAGAAGGCAGGGGGCTTTGTGACGATGATTAATATCTTTTTGATGTTTTGTTTGCATAGTTGGACTGTTTTTCCATTGTCTTTCGCTGCATATGATGTTTTCGCCGATTGGGCTTGCCTTTCGGGGGCGTGCTGAATCATGAGTGAATGCACTGCACTGGGCTGCATTATCTATATAAAGCCCAGCAGATAAGTCCAGGCTAGTCTTGGACTCAGTCAGTCACATGCTTGCTCACATGACCGCCGCTTAGCCCATCCGCAAAACGTTGTCATCTGACAGACGAACGTTTTTCCGCCTACTTTTACTGAGTACGGTGCCGACGCGGGTCAGCCCGGAGCGATAAGCTGCGGCTTGAGCTGAGACTGGGCCACTGATAAGCCGGCCATGCATTAATTTTTTCGCAATATTTTCTTAATCATACCATTGCTTTGACCATTGATCTGTGGCAGGCTAGTTTCAGTTACCCCGTTCTGAATCATTTTCCCTGCTAAATGGTTTCTGTATTGGTTGCACTTTTGCAGTTTTTCTTTGTCCAAGCCGCGCACAGCATTCTGTCTTCCTATCATCCATATCAATTGATTTGCAATGCGACTGTACTCACTGTGGGATCTATGTATTCCCTTATCAGTCTATCAAAATGTATCGACTCGATCTAAGCGAAAAACAATTGTTTTCTGTCTGCATTATTAATGTACTGGCGTGACATGTGCCACTAACCAATTGTTTTATGGGGGCGTATAATTATAAATAACTTTTACAGATATAGTGTGATAGGGTATGTAATTGCCATGGATGTTTTTCCTTTACACAAATCTATCTATAATTTTATAATTTAATTTCAGTATTAGTTTGAATTTTAAATATTCCCGCCATTTATATATTATTGAGGCACTTCACTTGGTGTTTGTTGTTAAACCAAACAGCTGTTTTGCTTGGTTCTCTGCATCGTATGGTCACACTCCGAAAACAGTGCTACCCATGATTGAGAAATAAAAGGCCGCGCAATTCAAATTAAATTTACATGGCTTCAGTTTTTAGTCATGTCCCAGTGGAACTTTTATCGCTGTACAGTCTTATGTTACAGAGTCTGTGGCTTGCAAATTTACATATATACAGTTGCAAAGCTGCCATGTTGTCTCTGATAAGCTTACACTTAGTTTTTATTCTCTTACGAAATGCGTTTCCACGAACCACAATAAGTAATCTAATGGGAGCGAAATGGGGGGATAACACTGTAGTGACGTGTGACGCACGGCTCCGCTTATCAAATTGGCACTTTGTTTTCGTTTGTGTAAGGGAGCACAGAGCATTAGAGCTTTTGGCTCTCCTCTCACTGAAAAACAAGAACATGCGAAAGAAAGACAAAAAGCACCGTACCGAAAATCGACAAGTAGCTAATATTTTGCGGACTTGCAAAAACAGCAATGATAATGATATTAGTACCTGTGCATGTTTAGTCAACTTCAGACGCATATATACATACATACATACATAGGTGCTCCAACCGGTTGGATTGGCCAATGTTTGCATACATTTTATGAAATGAAATCCTTATAAATCATCTGCTCCGCCTATACAAATTGCCCAAATGGTGGAAACCGGTTCGGGTTTGAATCCATTCTGCGCGCGCTGCACAAAACAAAATACGAAATACGAATACGAGTATTTAGAGTACCCACAGAAGAACTCTCAATAGTGTGCGCGCGCGCTCATAGCAGGAAACTGCTTGCTGGTGGTTGCTATTTATATTATTTCAGATTCCCGCCCGACACTACGCAGGCGGCAGGCAAAGCGAGCACACAGCAGAGGCCACTGGGGAGAGAAAAATAAATTAAAGGAGCCACACAGCACGAAAAGCATCCAGAAAAAGCACAAGACAGAAAAGCACGCGCGTCATCAAAACCAAAAAACGTGTTGGCCAACAAACTGCCGGAAAATTACATAAAAGTGGAAGAAAAAGTGAACCTAAAGCAGTACAACAGAACCATGGCCAGTCCCAGTCCGAATGACCTGAACGTGACAGTAGACGTGGTGCTGCCCACACTCATTGTTGTGGCCATGTTCGTGATAAACGGCTTCGTCTTCCATTATATCATGCGAAAACGGCGCCAGTGGAAGGAAACGGGCGCTGTGGAATCTGGCACTCCCGACATTGAGATGGAGCACCTGTAGCATCTGTACCGATCAAAGGCAGGCCAAATAAGCCGTTAGTGAGAACTAATTCGCCTTAGCCGGTGGATGGTTTGAGATACTCAGCATCGTCCAAGCTCAGCCCAACTGCAACAAAATTGCCGCCCCATCCATCAGCCCCGCTGCTAAACAGCTAAAAGCAAATCGGGTCTCGCTCTACGGGAATGGAGATGCGCCACACAAATATTTGCCTATACTATAGATAGTACATACTATACGGAGTGTATACGTCGGGTACCTTTAGATAATTCACGTGCATTTAATTACGGTTTCTACGTTTGTAAGCTCATCTTTTTTTCGCCATTAATTTTTCTACAAAATATACAATAAAAATGTGTGAATTTTGCTATACAAATCGAGACTCGTATATTAGAATGTCTGTGTCCGAGAAAACAAAACAAAAAAATCGATGGACGGTTAACGATTTATGTTGTGAAAAGGTTTCCCCACTTGAACTCGATGGAATGGATAGATGGAAGGAATGGGGGCTGCTTGTCTGAAATTCGTATCAATTATGTCAATTATACGAGTCAAGCCATCCGAAACACGCACTGACATGGACATGAGACCATCCGGCTGAGCGCATTTCGGGGCGACAATTGTTGCCTGGTCCCATGGTGATGGTGAAGCTGTCTGTTATGATTATGCCTGGTTCCCACTGTAATTTACTTGTTGTCTGTTCTGAGAACACAAGACTCTCTGGGCTTTGTGCGCCCCTAACTAACAGTCATTATTTGTTTTTTATTTTAAATGGATTTTCTGCTATCTAAATATACATTTAAGATCTGTCGCGTTCGTTCCACTGCAAACAAAGCTGTTTTGTGCCGTCTGGAGTTCTATTGCAATAGTATGCTCTTTGACACTATCATTTGTGGAACTCTCGTTCTATTTCCGTTGTGAAAAAGATATGCGGGCTAGAGAACAAACAACCCCCGAAACCAATCCTATGGGGCGACCAATGCAGCGATAGTTTGAACAGATACAGAAACGCATTCTTTTTCATGCCAAAGTTCTTCCCTGGAAACGGCTGCTCTGTGTTTGTTTACTACCTGGAACATTAACACCATTTGACAGTTTCTGTGGATGTTTTAGTGCGGCAGTCGTAAAGAATTTTATGGCTATGTTGAGTTTATGGACGCTGCTACTGTTGTTGGCTAACCGCAGACAGTTTGGACAGCTCGTGCCAGGTTAGTTAGTCCGTGATAAGGTTATCTCAAGATTGGAAACTATTTAATAGCTGAGAGATGGGAGGTGAATCGTAAATACAGTTTACGTAAATGCAAGATTTTGTACATTTTTCCACATTTTCGACTAGACCCAACAGTCCAAATGCATTCTACTCGAGAGCTCTAGGCAACGTCGTATCTAATCGTACTACCATAGCGTGACTTGAATATTGATTTATTAAAACATTGTCTCGATAAGAAGGGAAACCTGGCGATAAGGGAGATACCGGGACTACTACTACACATGCTATATGTATGTATATTCAACTATGTGTTTGCCATCCACAGCTGGAGCACCGCAAGAACTACCAGGACGAGACTGAGGAGCGCTTCCGGCTGAAGATCTTCAATGAGAACAAGCACAAGATCGCCAAGCATAACCAGCTATGGGCCACCGGCGCGGTGAGTTTCAAGATGGCCGTCAACAAGTATGCAGATATGCTGCACCACGAGTTCTACTCCACAATGAACGGCTTCAACTACACCCTGCACAAGCAGCTGCGGTAAGTGCTTCGTACCCCCTCGAAAGAAAGACTAAGGAGCTTATGTATATATATATTTTATTGCAGTAACGCCGATGAGAGCTTCAAGGGTGTGACCTTTATCTCGCCGGAACATGTGACCCTGCCAAAGCAAGTGGACTGGCGCACCAAGGGCGCTGTCACCGATGTTAAGGATCAGGGTCACTGCGGCAGCTGCTGGGCCTTCTCCAGCACCGGTGCCTTGGAGGGACAGCATTACCGCAAGTCGGGCGTGCTGGTGTCTCTATCCGAGCAGAATCTGGTTGACTGCTCGACGAAGTATGGTAACAACGGCTGCAATGGCGGTCTCATGGACAACGCCTTCCGCTACATCAAGGACAATGGCGGCATCGACACCGAGAAGTCCTATCCCTATGAGGCCATCGATGACTCTTGCCACTTCAACAAGGGCTCGATCGGAGCCACAGATCGCGGATTCGTTGACATTCCCCAGGGCAATGAGAAGAAGATGGCGGAGGCAGTGGCCACCATTGGACCCGTCGCCGTTGCCATCGATGCCTCTCACGAGTCGTTCCAGTTCTACTCCGAGGGCGTCTACAATGAACCCGCGTGCGATGCCCAGAACTTGGATCACGGAGTTCTGGTTGTGGGCTTTGGCACCGATGAGTCTGGCGAGGACTACTGGCTGGTGAAGAACTCTTGGGGAACCACCTGGGGCGACAAGGGCTTCATCAAGATGTTGCGCAACAAGGAGAACCAGTGCGGCATTGCCTCTGCATCCAGCTATCCTCTGGTCTAGTCTGGCCCCGATGTACTCCTCCAGAAACACATCCCCTTTATGATACATACAAAAAAAAAAACCCAAGACCCAACAAAAGCATCTCAGAAGAAACTTTAATATTTAGCCAATATTTTATCTTATCATTTGAATTCTTACACTACTTATTCTTGCATCATATTTCATTTCATTTAATCTCTGCCATGAAAACCCATCAAAAACAAGTACATGTTTTATGTTGGTGTTTGAAAAAAAATAAAAAAATAAATACAAAAAAATTAGAAAATAATCTAAAAAAATATGTATGTACGTTATATTAAGACAAGTGTCGGAACTGGTGAAGGGTTTTGTCCACCGATCGCTGAAGTGGAAGGACGTGGTGTTAGCCTCACACAGCCAATTTCCAGTGTGTGTATAGAAATAGTTCGGCAAGAATACGCCAAAGTACGAGGCGCAGGTCGGCGGAAACTCAACCAAGACATCTTCACCGAGCTAAGGAACGAGCGCTTGTCGCTGAAGGAAGCTACAGGAGAAGTGGATAGCCACAGGATTCACGACCAGCAAGGGGATCATATCGACCGCTTTCTTGAAGGAGTAGTTAGGCTGGCAACAACCTACTGCGATTCAGTACATATTTTTGAGTATTGTGTTAGTTTTGATTGCGATCTTAGGACTTTTCCAACTTTCCCTGAAGTGCGAAGAATAAATTCTATTGCCAAACGGGGGGATTCTTAAAATTATTATTAAAATGTGCACTTAAATCCTTGTAGCTCATTCACTTTCAAACAATTTCCATTTGGTGCGCACCACTAGGCATTTTTCGCTCTCTTTGAATCTTCAACAGAATATCTAAATTGAGCAATAGTAACGACTTTTCTCTAACGTTTTTTGTTTGACCATTTTCGGTAGTCTTTTTTTAGTCAAACCCATTAAATGCAAGTATTCAAAACAGACCAGTCAAGTACAAAATTGATTCATTAATCGGATAAAATTATGTGGGCATGGCAAAATGTTTTATCTAGCTAAAAATGTTCGACGGAATATCAAAATTGAACAAAAGGAACGACTATCCTCTTTCGTGTTTTTTGTTTGATCATTTTCGCTAAAACCTCTTTTTATGCAAAAGGCAATAAAAGCAAGTGTTTAAAATAAACCAGACAATTAGAAAATTGATTCATTAATCAGATAAAATTATGTGGGCATGGCTAAATGTTCTATATAGCTAATAAAACTTGACGGAATATCAAAAACGAGGAATATGTATAATAGAACTTGTATTCGTCAGTATATTTTTGGTATTTAAAAAAAATGGGATGGTATATTTTGGTATATTTCTGTGGGTCGATATTTTAACGATAACTCCGATAAACACACTGCAAGGCACATGTGTTTCTGTGTCTGTTGACAAAAAATTTAATAAAAACAATCTAAAATGGTGAGTTTGGCGCGAACCCCCCCTTAATACATACAACTTAATCAATAACTGTGCTTACGTCTTTTAGGTAAAGGGAAAGAAACCATACATTGACCGCAAGAAGGCGGTAACCTTCCATTTGGTCCACCGCAGTCAGCACGATCCACTTGTCACAGACGAAAATGCGCCGCAGCGTGTGCTCTTGGAGGCTGCTGCGAGGCAGCGACAGTCCCAGACAAAATCGCAGGACGAGGCACCAGTAGATCCCGCAAAGCGTCAGGAGGAGCAAAAGAAATTCGGCATTCACTTTGATGACGACTACGACTACTTGCAGCACATGAAGAAACGTGAGAACGATGTGGTCTGGGAGTACATGGAGAATCCAAACCATGCCAAGAAGCGCCAGGAGGACGATAAGCCGTCGACAGCTCCCAAACTAGTGTTGCCCAGTTCGGTTTTTGCCAGCGAGTTTGAAGAGACCGAGGGAATGTTGAACAAGGCAGCTCCCCAATCATTGCGCTTGGACTGGGATCCAGATGTAGTGGCGGCACTGGATAGCGATTGCGAAAATGAAGAACTGGAGGATGATTTTGTTATGCAGGCGATGGGCGACGGTGATGAAGATGACGAGGAAGATTGGACTGACGAAGGGGAGGGCGACGATGAGGACATGGACTTTAATTCCGATAATATGAATGAAGACGAAGATGAGGATGAGCTAATGGATCGCCTGGCTCCTTTGATGCGAGAACGTCGTTTCGATGACGAGGAAGTCAAGTCTCGTTTCACAGAATATTCCATGTCGTCTAGTGTCATTCGTCGTAATGAGCAGCTCTCCTTGTTGGACGACCGCTTCGAAAAGTTCTATGCCAGCTATGATGATCCCGAGCTGGGTGACCTGGCCCTGGAAGATATCGAAGGCAATTGGCACCAGAAGCACCCGGTCGTCATGCAATGCTTCCAGGAATTCAAAAAGAAGAACAAAACAATCGACTACAACAAAGATTGGGATCGTGAGCGCATTGAAAAGTACAGGCACGTGGTCGAGGGCGAAGAGGACCCCACCGAGGAGCTAGTCGAATACGAAGTAGACGATCCCAAGCAAAAGAAATGGGACTGTGAGTCCATTCTGTCAACCTACTCAAATATCTACAATCATCCAAAGCTGATTGATGAGCCACGGCGCAGTCGTCGCTCCAGTGCCAGTTCAAACCCAGCTCCCATTCAGATCGATCCCAAAACTGGACTGCCCGCCAATGTTTTGCGTGGCGGCGTTGATGGCCAGCTCACAGCCAAAGCTTTGGCCAATCTGGGTGATGACTCGAACGCTGCAACGGGCCCAAAGTCGCTGTGCGCCAAGTCGGTGCTGTCGACGCTAAGCGTTCTGTCTATACGCCCCAAGGACGAGTCCGCCGAGGAGAAGAAGGAGAGGAAGCGTCTGCTAAAAGACTACCGAAACGAACGACGCATCGAGAAGAAGGCCAACACAGAGGCCTTCAGGGAGGAGAAGAAGCGGCAAACTCACGTCAAGATCAACCAGCGATCCAATCAGCAGGGCGCCACTATTGTCTAGCTTAGTTCCCAGCTCTGTTCTTTAGGTTTAAATGTGAATTGTATACACATGGCGTATGTATAAAGTGATATCTATATGAGGAGTATAAACACTGACACGCGTTTCTCTTTCGATCCCTCCGCCAGCTGGTCGCTAGTCCTTTATGCCAATGTCTCTCGAAAACTGTTGGGTCCAATGACCCAATAATGGAAAATTGTACGAATTATATGCTGATGCATGGATGGGGAATTGGAGCTCTGGATGTCGCGCTTTGGTTGGCGTCATCGTCAGTTGTCAGTTGGCCATTAATCAAAGTGGCTGCCTGCTCCACACGCGCTGCCTGCTCCACGCTGTGCGTGCCAAGCAAAGCTGATACACGAACCACTATGCGAAGCCGTGATGCCCTGAAAGGATATGCCGTACAGTTGGCTTTCTCCTGTCACCGCACGGACGTCCAACCAGCTATGTCCCAACTCACTGACGCGGATAGAGTTGCAGATAACAAGAGACTTGACTTGGCCTGCCATGCAACAATTAGCTCAGCTCTAAAACAGTCTCACCGACTGCTTACGATTCGCGAATCGCTAGCTATGTACAAGAGCTCAACTGCCGAACATAAAACGGAATCAACAACAAGACAATCGAAAAGAAAATAAAATAAAGTTCATTTCATTGTCAGCTTTTGGTGAATGTTGCCAAAACAGCAACAATAATGTCATAACAAAATGTTCCTTTTACCTTGCCCCTTGACTGATGTGGTCTCCATACAGTACATCTGTATGGTGGGTATATCCCATATATGTACCGTAACCACACTCTACTATACTATTTTGTATGTACTCATGAGTGTAATTGTCTTTGTATATTATAGTTAGTCCTACAAACGCGATTTGTATTTACATTGCCATATAGAAATTTCCCACGAGGCATGGGGCCTGGGGGCCAGCGAAGGAAGGCCTTGTTTCCAGCCTTTTAACGCTCGGCTGTTACCATAGTTAGTGGAAGGTTGCCTAGCCCAGACACCGCTCCAGTGCCTGTGCCAGTGGCAGTGGCAGTTAGGTAGTGTTTTGGTTATTTTGTGGAAAACGTCAAGTCAAATCGCATGCACTTCATTGGAAAAACCAACGTCAGTCAGGATCCGTTTCTCGGTTGTTGTGCATACGTATGTACATATGTTCCCACTCGTATGTGGACAATTATAAGAATAATTTACACAGTTGATCCCTTCACCAATACATCATATAAGTAATGTAATGGAGATTGGAAATTTCCAAACACATTTCCATGGGAATCCAACACCAATTTGCAACCGAACTGCACTCGTGCTCATGCTCCTTTCCGCCATTCCTCTTATCCGCCTGACCGTCCCCGACAAGCCAAACTCCTTGTAAATGGAAACCCGTTACAGTTGGTTGTCGTGCCTGAGTCTCCATTGAACGGTCGAGCGGCGTTGGGGGACGTTGGTTTTTTTTTTTTTAGTTATTGTTGGTGTTATTGTATTTCGTATTAAAGCTGGCAAGGAAAGCGGCAAGAAATTCGCGTACTTTTTTTGTCCGTTGAGTTCAGTTTTAGTTCCTGAGCGAAGGCGAACGGATTCGGGCGCGCGTCGTTCCCGTAACGCGGTAATTTCCCTATAATATTTAGATTTTGATTGGATGGAACGGAGTTGAGTGGAGTGGAGTGTAGCGGTGGAGAGCCGGGGCTCGCGTGAGCCAAGCGTTAAACTAGTGTAATTGCAGGCGGTTCTGGGAATGAAACCGCAACAGAACACATTCATAAATGCCACTAACTACAAAATTAATGCAATTGTTGGGGGAAGTACATTTGTTTCAATGTTGCCAATTCATAATCGAAAGTCCCCGAGAATCGTTTTCTGCCTGCCTGCCAAGACTAGGCAGTTATTCTTTTATATAATCAGGCATAAGTTAAAAAAATTTAAATTAAAAATTCATTTGTTTAAATTTTGTGTGGATCTTTGAACCGAGCCGAACAGCTCAACGAGTGCGAGTACAAATGGAAATAAATGATTTTTGTTGATTTAATTAGTGGCAGCATCAAATCAAAGCAAACCAACATCAGCCCAAATATTTATATAAATATGTACCTACGTAATAAAATAACTAATTGTCAAAAAGTATGGAATACGAATACGTGTTATATGCATACCTAGTGCAAATGACTTAAACACTCCCATCTAAGATCTATATCTGACAAAAAAAAGTGTCGCATCTGAGTCTGTGTCTGCGTCTGCGTCTGCCTACACCTACACCTACAGCTAGACCATTTGCGTTGGGCTTAGCCGGATGCTGTTCATCTGACGATCTACATACTACGAGTGGTATGCATGCTCTCAGATCTGGAAGTGGAATTTTTAATTTGCGAAAAATACTTGAGCACACGACCATGCTATTGCCAGTGTCAATGTCAGAGAACAGGAAGATAAGAGCTGAGTGAGAAACAGAAAGTAATTTATAGGAAATGGAAGTCCAGTCCACACCAGTCCAGGCAATTATGTGTGCTTGAACCAGTCACACAAGCCAGGAAGTGTGTAATTGATCAGGCATCTCTCTCTGGCCCTCCTTAAAGGTACATATTTGATATCTGGATGCGTACTTTATACGATACGACCATCAATCGGATGCATAAGTAGTGGCATAGATTGAGCTGTTATTATACATATATCGTATCGCATCGCCAGGCGGATAGCAAAATGTACCGGACTTAAGTAAAATTGGCACGCGATTCAATTGAATCTTGGCGCGAAGTGTGCTAGTGCTCGGCCCCAGTGCTGGGGCAATTACACGACCAATGCCTTGACCGCTGTCGTTGCTTTTGCTTCTCCTCCGTCAAGCACCACGACACAGAACACACACCACACATAGAACATCTCACTGGGTATCAGCTTACGGCCGCTATCCGCAATCGCCATACGCCGCTGGTTGACTGCTAACAGTAACATCCAGCCAGCCCACACACAGAGGCCCTCGCTTGAGGAATCTACATATCATGGATGCGGACACACACTAGCGTCCGTATGGTATGTAGATACACACAAAGACACTGGCATACATATCTGGATGAGCACACTTTCGCGACCAAAGCTCGACTGTCTTCGACTGTGAGATTCTTTGTTTGTTTGAGTTTAGAACGAACCGAGCTGGAGGCAAGACTGCGGGACTACAAGTCTCGAATCAAGGACTCAGCTACGATCTTCCCTACCCTTCTCTTGTTTTGTTCAGTGATCGTTCGTGTTCGTGTCCTGCTGCAAGTGCAATTGTGTACATATGAGTGCATGTGCATAGTGTCTTTGAAAAGTGAAAACACGTTAAGAAACGAAAACAAAATCAATCGAAATAAAATGTAAGAGATATAACATACCAGTACTCCGCAAAGTACTCCGTTGAAACCAAAACCCGAAACTGAAAATGAAATTGAAAATAAAAATGATGCTCAAATATTGTGTTACAGAGACCGAATTATGAAATTCCCACGTCGGTGTAAAGTGAGATGATTTGAGGCCTGAAGTTACAAAATTCCTTTCCCGTTCCGTCGCCCCAACACCATGCTTGGCAAACTCAAAAGGAACGCATTCATATCGGTTGGATTGGGATTCATATTGATATGGTAAGCTCAGCTCGAATTTCCCCCTTCCTTTTCCAGCTAGGCTCGATGTGGATTCAGTTCAAGGAACAGACTCGACCGTTAGGTATCTCGACAACCTTCATTTGGATATGAGCATTGCCAAATAGAAAATCGGTTCGTTTTTGTCAAATCACCCAGAAGCAAGGTCACTTGGATACCAGTCAAATGGGAATTCTGCACGTCATATGAGTACTACATCCGATTGGAATAATATCAAAAAACTGCAAAAAGCAAACCAAGTACATAATATAATTCGCTTACAAACCAGTTAAACAGAAGCTAAAGTCAAGTCTAGTAGAACAGAACAGAACAGACCGGAACACAGCAGTACAGAAGGCAGCCCAGCAAACACGAATGAAGTTAATTTCAAATTCAGACTTAAATTGACAAAGTTTGCAATAGTTGCATGTGGCAGCCATCAGCCAACAGCCACAGCGCCCAGCCTTAGCTTAGCCCCACCCCCCTGTCCGTGACTCCATATAAAGGATTGTATTTGAAATTTTCTTTTTCTTTGGTTTTTTTTTGCTGCTCATTTTGCAGGCTGAGCGAAGCAACGGAGACCCAAGTGAACTACACAGCCAAGCCGCGAGTGGTTCTTCCGCCTAATTATGTCAAGGGTAAGTTAAACCCAGCCCCAGAGGCCAGCCCGGCCGACACCAACACCAATACCAAATCAAACCCCCCTCTGAACAAATTACTCGTACTATTGTAATGGGAGGTTACCTTTCGTACTCCTCTCTATGGGTGTCTGCTGTGTCTGTGTCGGCGGCTTCCATCCACTTGAAGCATGGGGTTGAGGTGCGAGTGCGATTCGTTCCTCTCCAGCCTTTGTTTTTAATTGCATGGATTTTTCGCCATTCTTTTTGTGATTTCTGATTTGTTTGTACCATGAAACCATGAAACCCGCCAAACCACCAACAGCCGCAGGATATGCATATGCGTGTTCGGTTTTTCTTCACGGTTTTGTTCATTTCGTGACGCGGTAAATTTCAGGGCCTCCGTCTATGTTACTGGGTTACGGTTACGGTTCTCCACAGTCTCCATCTGAGACCCGCAATTTAGGTCTTTGACGTCATCCACAATTACGATCGATTCAAATCAAAATAACATTTACCGGCGACAATTTCTTTCACTGGAACTATGAAAGAACCCTTAAGATCTAATGGGAATATAATCGAATGGGACTTCTAGAATAAACTATTTCCTAACTTATGGAACGTTGAATCTTTGCTTCCACGGATTCGAATCCCATTACCCCCCATACGGGAAGCTTCCTCCAACCGCCTGCAAGGAAATGCATAATTAAGGACAATTTTAACTGTGCCGAGTAGAGCAGTTTTCATTGGAAGAAAAACATTCGTGGCAGCTAATCAACACCTTTATTTCTATCGATTTTCCCTGGTTGTGTAATACGCATTACCATTAGCCCCGTAGACTGGCCCTGAACTTGAAGAGAGCCCGAGGTGGCTGTGGGTGATGTGTGTTTCCTTTTTAGAGAACTCACACCGTACCGCACCGACAGAGGCACACGAAAATGAATTTGCGCACGAGACGTTCTATTATTTTGAATGGCTGGATGGCCGGTGTTCATGGGGAAGAGCTGGTCTAACCATTGTTTATATGTACATACATACATACATATATGTATATGCTAATGAGTTCACACCAAAGTCGAAGATAATCAGCGATCGCCTTGATGATTTATTGCAGAAATACGACCGCCCTCGAAGAAGGGATCCCCAGTGATAGTAGACTTTAGCATTTTTGTTGTAGATATTAACTCAATTAACGTAGAGGATATGGACTTTAGGTAAGTGGAGCCGCGTCCCAGATCAAATTGCGGGCGACCATAATGGATCATACAGCAATACTGTGTATATTTTCAGAGTAGACATGTTTATACATCAGTGCTGGCATGAGCCACGACTGGAGATCCCCGACGACATCTTCGAGGAGGGCGACGACTATGTGACACTGCTTCCAGAAGTCTTTGAGAATTTTTGGCAGCCGGATCCGTACTTTCTCAATTCGAAGATTGCCGGTACGTTCTTAAAACTTTAAATAATCAAACTCCATGTATGCCTTTGTGTGTGCGTCTGTAGGATCTGAAACAATTCCCAATCGTGCACTTTGTCCAGCCGACAACCTCTACTACTACAATATGTGTCTATTATCTAGATATCTACTATATAGTACATATAAGTTAGTGATGATCATTTGTATATAGTAACAAATTCTTCTGTATCTGTTTGTTTTTCCTAATCCGTTCCGTTGTTTTCTCTAACGACTAATCGTTTCCAAACAAACAATACTGAAACTTCTACATAGGATATGGAAGTCCATATGTTGCGTCCACCTCTATGCTACGCAATAAGGGTGAAAGAGATTCGAAAAACTTTCATCTGAACAAAGATTTAAGTATATCAATGAATCTAGATCTGTGTTTACAATTTTGTGTTATGCCAAAAGCCATCCAAATCGAAATCAATCCATATCCTCCATAAAATCTGTATATGTATATTCAACATTCTCAGAATACTATTATGATATCTAATGAACAAGATGTAGTATATACCTTGTCTATAAATATATATAAATATATACCCATACTGGCATCCACCATTTGTGAACAAAAAAATTTACATTTCGTTTGCTTTTACTCGTTAAATCCCCCCCATCAGGAGATACTACTAGTACCGCCCACGTGGCGCGTCATTGCACGCACGAAATCCATTCCACCACTTCCACATCCACTTCCAATGCCATGGTCACCCAGGGCACTCCAACTCCAACCACACCAGCCAGAACTCTAAACATTCCTCTCACCCACACGCTCCAAACGAAAAATGAAAAACGAAATTTGCAGTTGCACTCGGAGTCCCCTGATTAGATCTCTCACCTTGAAATCACGGCTGTACTTTGTCGGGAAAATGTGGTTTTCTATTTGGTTTACGTTTTTTTGGTTGCCATTGTCAACATTTAAAGGACGAAAATCGATTGCGAATCGGTCAAGCTTTATTCCGTCCTGTCACGTTATTTTCAAGATTACTACAACTGCATGTTTTATCAGTGCAGAAGTCCAGAATCGTTGGATCTAGGGTAAAATTAAAATTTTTAACGTCTGAAAGGCATGCTCCGAAATATCTCCTTTAAATTTTCTTAGATTTTTGCAGTTAGTGTGGGTAATGGATGGATCTCTTTTAATGGCATACACTGATACTTGATCGTGGAAATTATTATTATGGAAAAAAACTAGAATGTTCCTCGTGGTATTTCAATAAAAAAAATCAGCTTCAATAAAATCAAAGTCTATAATATTATAACCCTTTTCATACTGACCCTTTTTAATTATACTCTTTTACCAACGATCCCAGTTCGATAAGTGCACACATATTTTCTTAACGAATAAGAGTAGAGTTTTTACAGACTATAAGTCATATAAGTACTAGAAGAGCAAATATTTCCCACAACAACTACATAAGACTCTTTCGGTAAATCTCGATTCAAGCATCAATGTGCCTCCTCATGCACATGCTGTGTATGTTGTTTTTGCAATGTGAGCGTCAATGACCTGCTCCGTTTAGAGTAGTGGTACCTCTGTAGTCCAAAATCAGTGGCGGTAAAGGTACCGGACAGGGTTATTTATGCTAAGTAGAGCAGACACCGCACTCTTCCCTTGTAGAAACTTGATGCTTAAACTAGACCTAAGGCGATCACGAGCACCGGCCAAATCAACCAATAAACAATCAACCACTCAACCACAAAAATGAGCAAAGAAAAATGAGTCTTTCGATTCCAATGCCATAGTTCTAATCAAACCCCATTTGTTCCGCATCTCTGCAACGTCTTCTCGATGTCTTCTCGTTGTAGAAATAGCGACTCTGACACACAAGTTCACATCAGTGACGCTGTATAAAAACAAGACGGTTCGCTATGCGGCGCGGATGCATGCCATCATTGCCTGCCAGATGGAGTTCCAGCTGTACCCCATGGACATACAAGTGTGTCCCATCCACATTGAGAGCTGTGAGTGGTAACCCCTCCCATTCCCCGCAGACAAGAGCAGCCTCTAACAAAATTTACAATTCAAAATTCACTCAATGAAGTCTCATCGAACAACCAGAAGGTGAAGCTCCGCTGGTCGGACTCGGGCGTGACCCTCAATCCGGAACTGAAGCTCCTGCAGTACAATCTGGGCCAGCCCCTGCAGCTGGAGGAGAGCGATGGCTACATGCCGGAGAAGGTGGGCAATTTCTCGCGGCTCACCGTGTTCTTCCGCTTCGAGCGCCAGATCGGCCATCATCTCATCCAGACGTTCGCCCCCTCCTCGCTGGTGGTGATGCTCTCCTGGTTCAGCTTCTGGCTGGGACTAGACGCCATACCGGGACGGGTTACTCTGCTTGTGACCTGCATGCTGACGCTGGTCACCATGTTCACGGGGGCGGACATTCCCCCAGTGGCCTATGTGAAGGTGGCCAATGAGTTAACCAGCAAAATAAAGTATAGAGGTTAAACAACATTTCTGTTGCAGGCCCTGGACCTGTGGATGGCCGGCTGCATGCTGTCCGTGTTCGCAGCCCTGGCCGAGTTCGTTGTGGTGAAAGTCCTGGACGTACAGTACCAGTACCAGGTGAACCGCATACCCAAGGTACTGCCAATGGTAAGGCAGAGCTGTGGATATCCCTTTAATAAATAATGCCACCTTCTTATCGTCCCGAATTGAAATCGCGTAGCGCATCAGTAACATGGAAAAAGGTCAATGTGCAACGGTGGCTAGCTGGGAGGGCGGAGCCGTGCGGTCGCGTAAAGCCACCCAAACGCCCACGACGCCCGGACAGGTGAGTTATTATCTTTTTAGATAATTTTAGGGAATGTGTGCACCTGTCAAGCCGCCTTATTTCGCAGACATCGCTGCAGGGAAACGGAGGACCGCCGAAGCCGGCGCGGCGGCAGAGCCTACTTTCGGTGGCATGGACGGACACGGACACGGGCGTCGAGAAGATAATGTGGCGGGAGATCGATAAGGTCTCCCGCGCTGTCTTTCCCATACTATTCTTTGTATTTGTTCTCCTGTACTGGCCGATCCTGCTGATGAAGTCGTCCTAGGACTTGGGGAGTTCCAGATTGCATATGTCTGGACTCCGTTAAAAACTCTATAGGCAATGGGCGGTAAATCTGACAAATTAAACTCAAGTTTTGAAGACACACAGTGTAATATCAAAAAGAAGAGTCTTTGAACCTCAAAATCTATCATCGAAGTACAACCAACAAGTGAAAACTACAGTTACCTACATAAGTAATTGCCAGCAGCTACAATGCTACATATTCCTATATCGGACACACTGTGCTAGGAACGAAATATAACTAAGTTATCGACAATTTGCTCACGGAGAATACTTGATTCGTTTGGAGTATTTGCTTTGTATAAAACGTATCTTATATTTAACGATAATTTTAGTTTCACATTAATTTTAATCTATGCTACGAGGGACACCACTCACAGAACTACGAGTATATGCTTGAGCTGCAGTCCTACCTATGTATGATTTGGCTTTGCAGTGAATTTCTTTAATCTCAGCACACACATTTGTCAATGAGATAAGCTGGAGAATATATATTTATATATCACTGTGCTAGTGACAATATACCCCTGAATCGAAAGGGATGGCTGTCCCTGCTTTGAAAGTATTCAATACATATCGTATGTATGCGCATACCTAGTATGTTCGAGCTACGAAACGAGACAGCTATTTTCTAGCAGACAGCTATTTTCAGTTGAATTTTTGTATTAGGCTTAGGCAAATCAGCCAAGAAATTGCATTGGTGCTTTAAGGAGATAATAAAATGGCCTTTAAGGATATTTGGATTGTAAATAACTTAACAGAGGAACAGTGAACGCTTTTTAGAGATTTTTACATACATATTTAGAATTATTTATCCATTATAGCGTATTTTTATGCAAGCATTAGAGCTGTGGCTTTTACAACTAATTCGAGAACATCTATGTATTGTATAAACCGACCTGTAGTTCAAGCAGCGCACACCAGGCATCAGGCAGGTTTTTGTAAACATATTATTGTTAAGCTAAATCGAGTTTATATTTGATATGAAAATACAGACACAATGTAAATACATTATATCACTATATTAACATAAATATATTTATCTAAGATTTATCTGCTATGCCAGTCCAGTTTACATATATGTAAGTATGTATCCTTTCCATCTCTTAAGTTGCGGTGTTCACTAAGCTGATCATAGTTCGGTGAGCTCTCGAATAGGGTTCTAGGAAAAGCTTTAAATTTATTCTTAATAAAAGAAAAGTCGCGTACATTTACCAAACAAACTAATATTTGCATTTAAACACAACCAACAAGACAATGGACCGAAGGCGGATGTATCGAACAACATTCCTATTCGTCATCCTCGGATTCGGTGGCACTCTCCTCCTCGTCGCTAAACTGCATCTGTGATGACCCATTCTCTTTTGTCCTAATAAGCAGCATATCATCATCGCTGTCCCCGTCCATGGTGCTCTTGTTTCCCTCATTTCCTTGATCCAACTGGTCGGCCCTGTCCAGGAGAACCCTCAAAGTGTACTTGTTATAGTCACAGCTGTGAGTATATAAAAGGAATCAGTAAGTTCAGTGGTTCAGAGAAAGGGAAGGATGGTAATACTCACATTTTATTGAGGGTTTCGTATTTTCTTGAGAGGATTTCATGCAGGGCCAGCAGGCCAGTGTGCTGGAATACGCCATCCTGGTTTCCATGCAGTGTCAGTAGGCAGCAGCTCCATTGCAGATAGAATTCAATGTGTGGCGTGGATTGCAAGAGGCGGGCCAATTGCTGCAACAAGCGCTGGGCAAATTCTGCCGACAGATCCGCACAGACTAGTTCGACTAGAAAGATGTAAGTAGGAAGGCAAAATTGGCATGAATATACAAGCACTCCATATGCATGCAATGCAGACACGTGCTGGGCAGATGGCAGAGCAGTTTATGACCAGTTTACGGCCATTTATATATGTGAAAGGGGAAGGTATTGCAAGGGGTTATTAACCAAGGCAAACCGAGAGAGCCTTGAAACTGTTTATTAACACAGCAAAAGTGCAAATTTGCACATTCGATCGAAAAATGGAGTCAGGGCAATGGCGACCGCCTCTGGTGAGTGTGTCGCTGCTATTTTTAGACACGGCAAGGCCGAAGGTTGCCCAACTGACAAGGACTGGCCCATGAATAGTATAAAAAACGATTTAGCATTCTACTTACTATCCCTGTACGGCACACGCTCCACCACCAAAGCAATCAAATTGGGTTCATTTAGCTTCAAGGACATAACCAGCGCCTTTGTGAAGTCCAGCTTTTTGAGAGACTCATGGACCGCCTTCGGCGTCACTTCCAGCGACAAGTCAAACGGATCAAAGACAACGCCTGATGGGAAACAAAATGAAGTGAAAATATGGGAAAACAATCTTATACCCTTAGATATAGCTTACCTTTATCCAAGGCATAGATGCAGAGACCCTCCGTTCCAGCAGCTGCAAAGGCCTGACCAGTGGGCGAGAACTTTACAGAGAACACTCTCACCTCGGGCTGGAAGCGTCTGGAGGACATATCTCCTTTGCGTACACCTGGCAATCGAATGGCAACCTTTCCGCCCTCAAACTCTTCGCGTTGCTCCACTAAAGCCATATTGCCGAATTCGCTTAAATTCTTACGACTGATATAATCCTAATTTAATAAGTAGCAAAAAAAAAACATTTATATATTACATTAAAACAATGTACTTTTGGAAAATTCTTACATTCAGGCCATCTAAGCTGTGGTTTTGAGTGATTTGGAATTTCTTGAGGAGGATAGCCTCCTTAACATGGTAAATACAAATATTGGGAGACTTTCCAGCAGCCAACAGACACTCCCCATCCGCAGAGTACTCAATGGTAGAGAAGTAACTGAAATCGTAATTGACTTAAATTGAAACTTGAACGATTTCGATTGCTACAATGACTCACTTGGCTTGGGCATTCTTCTTGGCTGTTATCACATCGGTTTCCATGCGACCGCTGCTCAGATCATTGCGTCCCTCTATGCTGGTCACTTGACTGGCAGATTTGATGTCAAAAATGGTTATGTTACCGCTCAATGTGGCCACAGCAATCTGAATAGGAGTGTATTGTAGTATGATCTAGGTGCGGCATATCTTTCGCTCTCACCTCTTCACCGCTGGGACTGAATGTCACATTTGTGACATCTGAGACAGCATCGATGGTTTCATGCTCGCTATTGCTCTCCAGGCAGTTCCAAATCTTGATTGTCTTGTCCCAAGAACCGGAAACCAGAGTGGAAGATGTGGCTACTGGCGAGAAAGCCAACGAGACCACTGGACCCTCATGGCCGCTGATGATCTCTAGAAGTTTGCCCGTTTTCACCGACCAAAGGAATATGTCGAAGATATCCTGCCCGCCTGCTACTACTAGCTCGCCGGAATAGTCCACTGCAACGCAGGAAAATTGAGCGGGATTCGGTGAGGTAAAGGTCCTAAAGTTTCGATATCTATACGAAAATCAACATATGTTAGATATCGTCTTCTGTAAGAACTGTACGGTGTAAAACCTACCTGATGACATCAAAAGCACGCACTGTGCCATCCAGGGAGCTGCTCACCAAAAACTTCTTGTTCCTACTGAACTGAATGCCAGTCACACCGCTGGTGTGCTCACTGAAGGTGACGAAGCAGAAGCTGCTTTGGGTGTTCCACAGCTTCACCTTGGAGTCCTCACCGCCAGTGGCAATGTACTGGCCATCTGAAGAGTAAGCAATGCAGGTCATCTCGCTGCTGTGGCCCTGTTGTTTCATAATATACTGCTCGCTTTGCCATTCCCAGACCAATAGTTGTCCGATCTCACGCGACGCCAAGGCCACCCAATCACCAGTGCAGTTGAATATCGCCGCCGAGATGGGATAGTCGGAAATGCTCAGCGAATGAATCATGTTCACATCGGGTAGCTCATAGAGGTAGAATGCTCCGGTGCTAAAGGCCACGACCAAGACCTTAGTGCGCCTGTTATAGTTGGCTGCCGTCAACTGGACATCCCTTTGCTCTTTGCGGGGTTCATCAGCCAGATAGTGTCGGGCCAGCTTTTTATAAAAGAAGGGATGCATCTTCTTAGCTGCCTCATCCTTCAGTTCATTCACATCGAGGGCGATAGCTGCCGAGTCTTCTTTTAAAGCCTGCTTCTCTACCACGTTTTCTACATCGTCTTCGGATTCATTGTCCGAGTCCTTTTGCTCCAGCTTCCTGCTTTTTGGAGCTTGCACCTCGGGTTTCTCTGGATCCTCCAAATCCGATGGGGCCAAGCTGCATTCCCACAAACAAAGCTGTCCATTCCGACTGATTGTGTTGAGATGCAAGCTATTGGCTTCGAAGAAGCAGGATACAATGCCATCCGTGTGCCCAGTTAAGTTGTAAGTGCGGAAATTCGTTGTGTAGTTGATAGCGCAGATCTTTGTCGAGCTGTCACGACAGCCAATGGCCAGTAGCCGCGAATCTGAAGACCAATCCAGCCAGGTAACATCATCATAGCCACCGAGGAAGCTCCGTTTCAGCACGAACGGGTTGTACTCTCCGGTTATTTCTCCTGGTGCGCAGAAGATGAGCACCAAATTCTCACGCGCCACGGCAAAATATTTTCCATCGGGACTGAAGCAGATGCACTGCACGCCAGTTTGGAATTTGTGTCTGTGTATCACCGTGCAGGACACCATGCTGATGAGTTGAGCATCGCCCTGCTCGTTAACAGCGATCAGCAGGCTTCCATCCGGAGAAAGCGCAATGTTTGTGTAATTATAGCGCGACTCCAACGAAAGGGTGCGCGATTTGTTGCTGATGGGATGGTTAAGGGTAATGTAATTCGGTTGGCCATTAAATTATTGCAACCTACTTTTTCAAATCGTGCACCGTTATCCGATTGCCCACGGGACTAATAACTGAATTGCCATCCGGCGAGAAGACCAAATTACCATTGCGATAAATTGTACCCAACAAGTTGGAAAACTATAACAGCAGAGGTTGGGGGTTAAGTGCTCTATACAGGTTATAGCAACTTACTTTGTACGAAAACTTCATTTTGGTGGCTGGTTCCTAGCTAAAAACAAAACAAACCTCGCACGTGTTGGGTGATAAACAGTACATTCGCATGTTCGCGCAAAATGGTGGCCCTGCCAACTAGTTGCCAGACAGCTGTTCTGTTGGAGATGCCAACGTGGTTTTACACCAGAGAAGAAAAAGAAGAAAACAAGGAAAGATAAACAAAGAAATTCACAAAATTTTAATAATTAAACTAGTTTCACTAAAAATTTAACAATGGAGCAGAGCAAATCTGCTTCGGACAAACTGGCAGAACGCAAGGCGCGTCTGCTCGATCTGCACAAGAAACGGCAGGAAGCCCGCACAGACAATCATCAGGAAGTTGTGGCGGAGGACGCCCGTAAAAAACTGCCCAAAAACTGGGAAGCTCGTAAACGCCAAGCAGAATGGCTTCTGGCAGATGACAAGGCTCGGGAAGATGCCCAAGCCGCCGGCAAGGACTATGAGCGCCTGAAGCTGTTGGAGGTGTCCGCCATCGATGCCGAACGCATCGAAAAGAAGAAAAAACGCAAGGACAACCCCGACCTAGGCTTCTCCACGTATGAGGCACAAACAGCAAGGCAATACAGCCGCCTGGTCAAAGGTATGCCCGCACGAGACATGGAAAAGTATGAGAAACAAAAGGCCGAGCTCGGAGAGGCCTTCTACGGAGGTCCACACACAACATTGCATGCCCTGACAAAAGACACTCCTGCAGCCATCAACAAAATGGTCAACGATCTGGACCAGCAAATAGAACGCAGAAAGAAGTACTCGAGAAGGCGCATATACAACGACGACGCTGATGTGGACTTCATCAACGAGCGCAACTCCAAGTTCAACAAGAAGCTGGACCGTTTCTATGGCGAGCACACTGCAGAGATCAAGCAAAATCTGGAGCGTGGCACAGCTATATAGGCTTAAGGCAGCAATCCACTCTACAATCTTAGTTTTAATTCCAGATATCTGGAAATAATTATAATTATTTGAAAATCCGAATTATTTGTAATCATAACTGTATCATTGAATCTACACATCTGCTACATATTAACTACATTTTTATGTAATTACCAAAAGCGACATCTGAAGGGGAAATGTGTTAGTTTCAAACATTTATTCCCGGTTTCTTTCATATAAGCCCCCTCGAAACGGCAACTGGCGTCTGGTGCGATGGAAAGACGTGGGGAATGGGGCATGTTCTCGCGTCGGTCCGATGCGGAGGCTCATCTCATCGAGATCACCCGCGTGGATGGCAGCCGTCGTGCTTTGTGGAAGGGGGGTGGAGAAGCCGCGTTCCCTCGTCCTCGAGACGCGTCGCGGGTGCATTACTTGAACAGAGTCGCCTCGGACTCCATAAGCCGCGCCACGATGGACGAATCCGAGCTGCAACCATAACCGGGAGCTCACATTCAAAAATGTTCGATTTGGCGCGCACCACTCGTTATATTTTTCAAATGAGACCGTATATTTTGAAATATTTCTGTGGGACGATATATTTTAACGATAAGTCCGCGGTCACACTGCTATCGATAGTGGGCACCATCGGTAGTATACGATAGGTTTTCGAAAAACATCGACAGTGCAATCGATAGTTCTCCACCTGTAATTCAAAAAACATCGCTGACATTTAATATTAGTTTAATTTTCAATGTTATATAAAAATCCAATAAATGCAAGTATTTTGAATAGGCCAATCATGTATAGAATTGATTCATCAATCGTATAAAATTGAGTGGGCATGGTTAAATGTTCTATATAGCTGGGAATATTCGACGGAAGAAAGAATAACCAGGAATTAGTCGTCATAACCGGTTGACAACAATGAGTCCCATTCCATGCATACATACCCTGGGGGAAATGGATTTTATAGAGTTATGAATATTTTTGTCATCCCCGGCAAAAACAATTTATTTTCAATATATTTTAATATTATTTTCAATATTTCAACGATATTTTAAAGCTTGTCTTCTTGCAGAGACCACGACTAGGTATCAGGATCGAGATATATATACAAAACACTCATCATATACATAAATATGTCTAAAAAATGTCAATTTGAGAAAAGGTCTTTATTAGTAACGTTTTATCTTCATATCAATATTTATACCTTCATATAAAATTAACAAAATAGGGTATACAAAGACCTATACTACGGCTTGCACGCAATATAGCGACTCTTTTTTTGTTGAAATTTTTCGTTTAAACCTTTTTTTCAACGAAGATAATTTAAGTTTCCTTGCATGCTTGCAGCAAATTCTATAAAAATGCAGAAATTCAGTTCACAAGAAAAGTATTTAATTGCCAACACTCTCAACTGTTGGCCTGTGATGCTGCAAGGACACTCTGTGCTGATGGACCTACGAAATGAGACTTCTGTGGCTGGAGTTGTCGATATAGCCGACGGACACATGACCTGTGAGCTCTCAAATGCCGTCCTCATTGACCGCAATGGCGGGCAACATCCTTTCGACAATTTTATGGTTCGCAATCGCATGATCCGGCAAATTCACATCCCGACGGACATTGATGTGGCGCAAGAGCTACGCCAGGCAATGGAACATGGTGTCTTGCGAAGAAAACGTGTGGACGGAAGGAATACCAAGCGCACCTTTAAGCAGAAGCGAGCCGAGATGAGACACAAGGAGACTCTAGAGATGATAGCCCAACAGAGATCCGAAAAAGAACAAAACCAATCTAATATTCAATGAAAAGCCTATTAAACATTTATTCCCGCTTGTTTTTATTATTATTTTCCAATAGTGTACAAACTTCGTTCGACTGGATGATTATATTCTCCTACAGTTCCAAAACTCTCTTTATTGAGCCTCCTTCTCACTCTTGAACTTGTAGTGCAGCTCCATGCAGTCTGTGTTGGAAACATTGATCCATCCAGTTGGGGTCATGTGGTAGACTCGGATGATTCCACCAGAGTAAGCATCTCTGAAGGTGGCATGGTAAATGGCACGCTGGCCCAGATCTTGCGCCTCCTTATCCTGCAAGTCCCAGCGGTAACCAGAGTCGAGCACACCATAAGCGAACAAAGAGCCACTGCCGACGGAGAATAGATTTCCAGGCGTGCGGGAACCTTCAGAGTCCACATAGTAAAGGCCGGGACCACGCTTATCATAACCAGCCAGCATCATGCCCATGCTGAGACCCATTCCTTTGTACTCGTGGGCAATGTTTGCCATGATCTTGCTGGCTGCGGCTACCGAGATGCGTTCCTTGTTGCGCAGCTCGTGCAAGCGGCATTCCTTGGACAGGACACGATCCCAGTAAACACAATCGGCAGCACCACCGGCCAAAGTTCCCAGTAGAAAGTCGTTGATTTCCACAATCTTTTTCATTGTCTGCGAGCCAATGTACTGGCCTCCAGTGGCGCGTGAATCAACAGCCAAAATTACGCCTCCTTGGTACTTGAAGCCAAGGGTTGTGGTGCCATGATCGAAATCTATTTTGATGCCGGTTTTACCAGAATTTGCTTGAATTTGATTCAAATTGAGCATAGGCTGCAAAGATACAAGAAAATATAAATTACCTTCTGTGTAAGCGAGTAATTTTTGCTCTCACATTCTCGAATGGCGGAGCAGCCAATGTGTAGGGGTTCGCCAAGTTGCATGAAAATGTCTTCAAGTCTTCATTTGCATCGGCCGAAGTCCAGGCAGTGGGCTTCATGTACGAAGCATTGGAGATTTTACAAATTTCAGCCAATGCCATTGTTGCTTTTACTTTTTTAAAATTTTTTAAAAATTAAATTCAATGCGGATGACAAACAAAAAGTTGGAGCTCAGTGTGACCGCTTTTCAATAAAATATACCGTCCGACCCTCAGAAATATACCAAAATATACAGCCTCATTTTAAAAATATACCGTGAATATACTGACGAAATTGAGTTCCATTTTACATATTCCTCGTTTTTTATCTTCCGTGGAATATTACTAGCTATATAGAATATTTAGCCATGCCCACATAGTTTTATACGATTAATGAATCAATTTTCTACACAATTGGTTAGTTTTTAGTCCTTGCTTTTATTGTATTTTGGCTAAAACAAGGTCGCAATGTTGCTGGTATTTGAAGACATGATGCGTGTATAGGCCTTTGTGCACCCTATTTCGCTAATTTTATATGTAGATCAAACGTAATTTATTAAGACCTTTTCTCAAATTCATATTCCTTAGACATATTCGAGTACATTATTAGTATCTTGTGTATATTTATGTCGATCCTGATACCTACTGAGCCTTGGAAGACAAACGTATTCACAATTCTATAACATTCATTTCCCCCAGGGTATTCATTAGAGGTGTGACCCAATAAATTATACCGTCCGACCCTCAGAAATATACTAAAATATACAGTCTCATTTTAAAAATATACCGTGAATATACTGACGAATTCGAGTTCCATTTTACATATTCCTCGTTTTTCATATTCCGTCGAATATTACTAGTTATATAGAATATTTAGCCATGCCCACATAATTTTAGCCCATTGATGAATCAATTTTCTACACAATTGGTTAGTTTTTAATCCTTGCTTTTATTGTATTTTGGCTAAAACAAGGTCGCAATGTTGCTGGTATTTAAAGACAATATGCGTGTATAGGCCGTTGTACACCCTATTTCGTTAATTTTTTATGAAGATCAAACGTAATTTATTAAGACCTTTTCTCAAATTGATATGTTTTGACTTATTCATGTGTATTATTAGTATCTTGTATACATTTATGTCGATCCTGATACCTACTGAGCCTTGGAAGACAAACGTATTCACAATTCTATAACATTCATTTCCCCCAGGGTATTCATTAGAGGTGTGACCCAATAAATTATACCGTCCGACCCTCAGAAATATACCAAAATATACCATCTCATTTTAAAAATATACCATAATACACTGACGAATTCGAGTTCTACTTTACATATTCCTCGTTTTTCATATTCCATGGAATATAACTAATTAAATATAACCCTCAGCGCTGCCCACATAATTTTATCCAATTAATGCATCAATTTTCTACACAATTGGTTAGTTTTTAGTCATTGCTTTTATTGCATTTCTATATAACGTTGAAAATAAAATTTATGAAATTATACCATTATATACCGATATATCGTCTTATCGTATAATCCTGAACTTACTGAACTATCGAGAAGCCTGAATGAGGCGATATTTGCGCATATGGCCACTCTTGGCTAAACCTGTTGCCAATTTTGCCCGAATGGCTTTCTTCTTGTAGTTTCTTTTAGGCCTGGCTTAGCCAAATTATCTCCCTGGGCGTTCCATAGTTCCGTTCCATAGGCAAAATAGTGCAAAAAACGGAATTGGAAATCTGATTCAACAGAAGCATGTGCGCATGCGTCCTAGCTGACACGAATAGTGTGTAAACAAGGGCGCGCAGTTTAGAATTCAATTTAAAGTGGATCGGATCGCAATTGTGGCAAGACGCAGTTTCAAGTTGGCTTTAACCTGAGGATTAAGTGAAATGTAGTCTCTCTGGATATACATGTAATTCTATCGCCGAGTTCTTGCAAGTGCCAAGAAAGAAACTTCTTGGATCGAGTTGAAACAAGTTGTGTGTTAGATAGGGTTCTTAAAACGGTTTTACAAACGAGTATTTTGATTTGAAATTGTAATTACTACGTGTACGCCATTACGTACTCGTACATGGGACACATACAAGCAAACACTTGTATGTAATCGCAGAATTGACAGTCTTGATGTCTGGCTCCGACAAGATCAATGGTCAATGGCCACAGCCATCTGAGGTAGTTTAATTCGAGTGGTTGTGTCTTGATTTCCTGAAGACGATGCAGCATGGATCGACCCGCATTCAGAAACAGGAAGCTCTGCCAAACGCAATTTCTGGGGTGAGTTCAGCAACGTCCAAGTTGTGTGGCGCTTAACCCTTGAACATTTCAGCCCGACTCCAGCAACTGGACAGCCCTGCATGAGGCAGTGGTCGCAGGGGACGACCGGCGCTTGGAGGTTCTCCTGTCCACCAATGCAGACCGCATGGCCAAGGAGTCAAGTCTCGGGAACACGCCACTCCATGAGGCGGCCAGTCGAGGCTTCAGTCGCTGTGTTAAACTGATTTGCGCACCCCCACCCGCAGCCAAGGTGCAGCCCAAAGAGAAGAGCAGGCTCAAGGCAAGGGTGGCCAACACAATTGAAGCCCTACACAATAGCACGTTGGGGGTTGTCAACCACGAGGGTCTGTCGGCCCTGCACTTGGCTGCCCAGAACGGGCACAATCAGAGCTCCAGGGAGCTGCTGATGTCTGGAGCCGATCCTGATGTGCAGAACAATGTAAGCGAGACGGTTCGTTTGTAATTATTTACTAGCTGTAATATGTTTCACATCGGCTTTACAGTATGGCGACACGCCCTTGCACACAGCCTGCCGCTATGGGCATGCCGGGGTCACACGGATTTTGCTCTCGGCCTTGTGCGATCCCAACAAGACGAACCTAAACGGAGACACCGCTTTGCACATCACCTGCGCCATGGGCCGAAGAAAGTTAACCAGAATTCTTCTCGAGGCTGATGCTCGCTTGGGAATCAAAAACGCTCAAGGCGATTGCCCAATGCACATTGCCATCAGAAAGAACTATCGCGAAATAATTGAGATATTGAATACACCGAAGAAAATCCGAAACCGCAAAGAAAAGCACAAGGAGGGCAGCAGGTCCGACAAGGATAGGGATAGGGATGTAGTGGATAAGGGCATTAATTGGTCGCCCTATGGCTGCCACTATTTTCCCGATCCGCGAGCATTTCCCTCACCAAAGCTGGAAACCCTTCCAAAAGACCCACTGAAGCCGGGCGAGCAATATTTTTTGGATCTAGCCGGGCACATACACAAGGGGCCCGTGAGCGTGGGCAACACCTGCTACTGTGGTCCCTTCTTTCGTCACATTGAAAACAAACTTAACTGCAACCGCAAGAGCCTGAAGAAGTACGTGAACAAGACTAAGGAGCGTTTGGGTCACAAGGTCCAAGCCTTGGCCATTAAGACAAATGACCAGATAGAGCAGCTAACGAGAACAATGATCGAGGATCGGCTGCGCTGCGAGAACAAGAGGCAGCATCTCAACGAGTTTCTGCGAAGAGGTGAGCCCATGCGATCCACATACGATAACCAAAACAAAAGTTCAAGGATCGAGCGGACACTTTCGCGTTGTCGAAGCCTGGAACTGCTCGAGCTAGAGAAAAATTATGAAACTGGCAGGCTTACCAACTCCAGAAGTGTGGATGTCCTGGAGGATCAGGCAGTAGAAGCTATTGTTCATCAATCACCCGAAGTAGAGCTCGATAGTGACACAGATGACGACTCGGATGCGGCCAGAGAAGATGCAGCTGTTGATCTGGCTCCATGCCGGGCGGAGGCCAAAGAGACGGAAAAAGTCGAGCATCTGGAGCATTCGAAGCTCGACGAGTTGAAGCTAGATTTCCTGAAAGTGTCGGAACGATTGGGGGTTTTACTGGAGAAAACCACGTTGATTATGGAAAGAGATAGCGAACAGGAGAGCAAACATCAGCTCTCCTCGCTCTCCCCTCCGTATAAACCAAGTCCGGGAGCCGACTCAGCCCGACTGCAAGAAGACAAGGAGAGTGTAAACAGCCCCAACTTTGATGAGTACACGCACGTGTTACGGCGCTATCCCAACTCCAGTGAGACGTCAAATCCCTCCCAGAACTCCAACAGTTGGGACTGGCAGGCATCACCGACCGGCAGTCACCCACCCCCAGGCGACTATCACAAATATTATCATCGAATCGGCCGAGGAGAGAACATGCTTAACTCCGTGATCAAGGCATTGAGAAAAGACGCCTCCTTCGCGGAGCTGAGCAAGGAGGAAGCTGCCCTTAACGAGAGTGTAGACAGAATCTGTGGCGATAAGTTATTGTACAAAGAACAGGCCTGCGAAGTAGCAGCTCTTGGACAGCCGCACTCCAGCAGTCAGAGAGGGGTCTCAAATCTAACGAAGAGACAACCGCTCTGTCTGGAGGACAGCTTTCCCACCATACCGAACATGTTCTACTCGAACCCCATTATGGAGTATGCCGAAGAAGCGGAGATCAGGCAGAATGGCAGCGAGACCGTAAACAAAGTGGAGATCAGAAACAGCGAAATCAAATGCCTCAAAAAGCCCAATGTGGGCCAGGTCAGAGGCATGGTGGCCCAACTGCAGAGCACAATAGACTCTAATCAACAGCAGGGACAGGAGCAGGACTCACAGCCAGCAACTTTGATGGCCTCGCGATCGCCGTCCCATCTGAACAACAATTTCCAGCACATTGAAGCTGCCTCGCTGAACCCATCACCAACATACAGCATACCCCACAGAATTGTTCCCCAATTTGGACTCCCCGACAGACACATTCCAAAGGATGCCTACTTCCATGAGCTGCCACATCGCCCCCAGCCCCCGCCGCCTCAGCCACAGCATCAGCACAGGCGGATCAGCTCTGGCTACGTACCAAATGGAAATTTCTATCGCAATGAAGAGCTCTATGCGGGAAAAGTGCTCACCACTCCCCAATCCAATATATCTATGAGCGGAGAATACGTTAATCGAGCCACCTATAGGCCTCTACAGTCGCCCCATTCCCAAGGACTTGCAACGCCCAACCCCAGCATACATCCGATTGCCTGGCAGAACCGCCTGCCACCGGACGATATCGATGTGGAGGAATTGTCAGCCATTGGCTTATACAATAATGTCTCGAGTCTGGTTTGATCAGACAAGGACTAGTTGGAGGACCAATCGGATGTAACTTTTCTCTATTGTACATAGCTATTCCTAATATATTTATCATAATTTTAATCATATACTGTACTAAAGCAACAAATTAATTTATTCTCAATTGTCCAATCCTGTCCAGATGGATTTTAAAAATATACACATAAATATTACACGCAAAACTTGTTGGCATCTTATGGGATTTATTTGAGTGACTTTGCTAAGTTGATTAGAGCAGAATTTTGGCAGCTTCCCATAATTACCATAAATTATACTACAGTTATTAGGAGTATTTGAATGAATGGCCCACTGCCCCAATTAATAAATTCGAAGTATCGACTTTAGCAAGCATTTCTAAATTTTAGTCTTTATAATGTGAAAATTATGCGTAGCGGAGGCTGGACGGAGCTTAAGCAAGTTTCACATTTATACATATTCAACCCAATAGGGATGGGATGGTATTTCTGAGCTTAATGACAATATTTTGACATTGGTACGCAAAAAATAACAGTATTTCAAAGTTAAGGTGCACCTGATGATCATCGGTAGTTGGGCTCTAAACAGCTGAATGAAATCCAAAAAAAATGTTTTCGATCAAAATATATTTTTCTTTAAAAATGTTTAATAATAGTATTTATGCATGTGTAAATATCAGAATGTCAAGTACATATATTTATATTATTTATTGATAACAGATCATTTTGGTGTTTTGATAGACATGCGGCTGCTTATGAGAGCGCTCTGTATAATGCTACAACGAATTTAAACAGAAAACTAATTCCATAATCGAGTTCCAATGGTCGGTCGGGGAATTCAAAAAATAAAATTCCCCCCTCCGTAAACCAGTAAATTGGGCAACATTTGATATCATTTACCCACATATACATATGTATGTCTGTTGTGGTTTTTTCTTGTTAGTACAATTTAGCAAGTGCCTAATAATGATTTCTCGATGTTTCTTTCAGTTATTAATTTAAAATTCTATAAATGACACTGCTGCTGCTATTGCTGCTGCTGACTTCGCCTGCTACTTAGATTTAACCGGCCACTTAATAATTAATCTTAATTCTGAATAGTCGTATTACAAATACAAATTACAATAGCCAATAATTTAGTCACTTCGCATGTATATGTATCTATGTATCTATGCATGTACGTAAGTATGTATATGTATATGTCTATCTCGTCTAATTAATTCTATTAATAATAGTTGTTTTTGTTTCTTTCTTGTTTGGATTTGGGGCGTTTGTTGGCTTGGAAATGAATGTATATATGTATATATGCCTATGTAAATTTGAGTAACCCGTCATTTCGCACAATTTAACTTAACAATGTTGGTCTTCGGACTGCAATTGGGAGTGAACTTTGTATGATCGCTTGGGGGGGTGTTCGCAAGTGATTTTCGTATTTTCGATCAGGTAATGTCTCAAAGAGGACTGTTGTCAGAGTCTTCGCGCTCTTGGATTGTGGTTATGCTCTGCTGCAAGGCATTCGGTGTCAGCCACTCTCTGAAATCAGAAGCAATACAATGGCGTACAGTACAAGTGGACAATGAAATATGAAGGCCGCTTACTTGGGCAAACACCTTTGTAGAAATGGCACACAGGAGCTGAAATGCGCTAAACGATTGACCCAGCTAGGTATTTCTTGGCCGCAGAGTATCTGAAACCAAACCGTAAGTTATATTGGAATTGTAGCACCTAATTAGGGTGACATCATACCTGTGTCAAAGAGCCAGAAAAGTGATTGCAATTATTGTTCATAAGGTGGTAACGATCGCCGCGAAATTGATTGCCCAATTCCTCAACAATCCGACGCACTTCCTCGTACGTGAAGTCGGTGCAGCCTATTTGAATGCTTTGCCGAAACTGAAACTGGTCCCCCAGTTCATCGTGATCTCGCGGAGATATTTCAAATACCCCTGTAAAGGGAAATGGATGTCCACCGTAGGCGAATTCAGTCCCGAATGCTTCTACACCGGAATGGAATACGCCGAGACCAATTGACGTTGTGTATTCATTGATCCAGTACTGAAAATACCCCAAATCCCAAATCAAATTGGATATTCTTGGAGTACCAGAGAACTACTCACCATATCGTAGACATTGAGGATTACAGGCTCTCTAGTCCCCATATTGGATGGCAAGAGCTCTTCATTACCAATCTCGTCTTTTGGAACACTGAGACAGCTCGGAAACGACAGATTGCACGGCAATCCGTTGGAGAACATTGATTAAATGCGTTGTTGGTGTGGTTGGGCTGAATATACTTCTGCAACAGTCTGCAATGAAGGGCAATTAATTAATCTGTTCGCGGCGCTGTCACATTAGTGCACATATGCATGTGGACCCTATAACTGATTCTCTCCGATCGGTGGAGTCACCGCACAATGCCTTCCAGATTCACGCACACATATGTATGCATATCTGTCCGTACATACATAAGTGCGTAAGATACATAAGTATAAACACGACATATGTACGTACTTACATATGTCTGCGGTTCAGAAATGTGTCATAGCAGGAGAGTTACTTACACCTCTGGTAAGGGCCTGTTAGCATCCCATACTCTGAACAAAAATTTAACAAATTATAAGAGGCAAAAGAGTTCCTTCAACTTCCGCTTATGTTTTTTTTTTAGTTTACACAAAATTTGTTGTTTATGGATTGTTGTCATTTATCGGTATACGACCCTCAGAATTATACCAAAATATACAGTCTCATTTTAAAAATATACCGTAAATATACTGACGAATTCGAGTTCTACTTTACATATTCCTCGTTTTTCATATTCCGTCGAATATTACCAGCTATATAGAACAATTAGCCATGCCCACATAATTTTAGCCTATTGATGAATCAATTTCTACACAATTGGTTAGTTTTTAGTCCTTGCTTTTATTGTATTTTGACTAAAGAAAGGTTTAAACGAAAAAGTTCAACAAAAAAAGAGTCGCAATGTTGCTGGTATTTAAAGACATGATGCGTGTATAGGCCTTTGTACACCCTATTTCGCTAATTGTATATGTAAATCAAACGTAATTTATTAAGACCTTTTCTCAAATTGATATTCTTTAGACATATTCAAGTACCTTATTAGTATCTTGTATATATTTATGTCGATCCTGATACCTACTGAGCATTGGAAGACAAACGTATTCACCACTCTATAACATTCATTTCCCCCAGGGTATGTGTGCATGGAATTAGCAACATGTTTGTGTATGGAATGAGACTTAAAAAAAAACGACCAATTCCTCATATTCTTTGTTCCGTTGAATAATACTATCTATATGGAACATTTAGCCATGCCCACTTAATTTTGTACGATTGATGAATCAATTCTATACATGATTGGTCTATTCGAAATACTTGCATTTATTGAATTTCTATATAACATTGAAAATTAAATTAATAGATTGATGAAAATGACAAAAATACAGTATGACCCTCAGAAATATACCAAAATATACTAGCTCATTTCAAAAATATACTGAAGAATTTAAGGTCTATTATACATATTCCTCGTTTTTGATATTCCGTGGAATATTACTAGCTTGATAGAACCATCAACCCTGCCCACATAATTTTATCCGATTAATGAATCAATTTTCTACGTGCCTGGCTTATTTTAAATACTTTAATCTTAGCCCTGCCTACATAATTTATAATTTATTCCGTGCCATGTCGTGCGACTATGTTGCTCATTTATCGGAGCTGGTTCACTTATGAATCACAGCTGACTACTCCCGAACTGGCCCATTTCCACGTCGTTCCACTCCAGTTGCTAAAAGGAAAACACGAAATTAAATAATAATTAAAATAGAATCAGTGTTTTATTTGGACAATATTGAACGGCACACATGCCCCCATCCTAAAGGGCTGGCCAAAAATTATGACTTAAAGATTCACTGCCGCAAGCAAGTCGCTTATTGAATGGGCGTATTGAATGCCAAATCGATTGCTACGCAAATAAAAAATCAAACAAAAGAAAACTTTACAAAAAGGAAACAGCAAAAATGTTAATGTAATCAAGTAACACAGAAAGTGCATTCCGGCCAACAGCAACAATCAAGCTAATGAGGGTGAGGTGGCCACATGTGTGGGCGTGAGTATCGTACGAGTCTGCCAAAAGGTCAACAGAACTAAAGCATGATCCACTTAAACTTACAGGTCTACGAACGTCACTTGATAGCACCATTGACATGAACAATCCCCCTCGGACCGTGTCGGAGGAGAAATCAATCAGCAGAGCACACAAATGACCAACTCAGAGGAACGGAAAAGCAATAATTAGCAACGTAATTAGTAGCAAGCCCGATATTCTTCCAAAACTTAAGGTCAAAATTGCGCATCGCCATGTTTTCCGAAGCATATGACACCGATGAGCTGGACACCATCGCCGATGTCATGGGACTCCGCTCACAGGCTCGCCTAAACACATTTCGCGAAATGTGGTACCACTTATTTCTGTGGGCCCTCTTCTCATCCATTTTTATCCACACCTGTGCCGCCCTTGTGGCGTTTGTCACGCTTCGAAAGCATAAATTCGGTCGATTCTTCTCCATACTAATTCTGGTCATGGGATTCTTGTCCCCAGCTTCTAGTGGGATCATTAGCAGTGCGGTGATTGCATTTGTGCATCGCGCTTCCAGCCTGCCCATGTCACCTATTTATGCAATGGTCTGGGGTCTTGGACAGACCATAGTCTCGGCATGCCTGGGCTTCACCCGAATCTTGGCCACGCTCTAGATTATGGTCTGAAATTTCATCATAGAACGTTCGTCGCTTGCTATTTTCTTTTGTAATCATTATCATACTTTTTTTATTCGTTTTTCGCAGAACATCTTGAAAGATGCTCGACAACAAATATAAAAATTCATAGATATGCGTATAAGAATATTGTGATTTTTAAATATACATATACTATATACGACCAGAGGAATAATGTAAAATATTTAGATCTTACTTGTAATATTTACTCTAATTGTACATAAGATACCAGCCGAATACACGAGAAGATTCTAAAACTAAATCAGAGTATTGGGATCCCTTGAATTGTACAAAGTGTAAAGTTTGTTGCTGAGTACGTTCCCTATGCGTCGTTCGGTGTGAAGGGGCTGTGGTCCATTACAGCGCTTGATCTTTAAATCAGCTAGGGACTGCACAGCCGTAGGATCATTGGAAAAGTGGTCCAACAGTTTCTTGGGACAGGGATATTGAGATATGATGGATTCGGCCACCTCGAGCGTGACCAGCGGCAACCGATTTAGATGCTGCTGCCATAGACGTCCATAGCCATTGCCCTGCTCGACGCGGACGCACTGCTTCTTGTCGTTGGCCAAGTACTTCTTGAAGAACCCCAAAGATTCATCGCGTTGCTTTTTAAACGGGGCTTCGGCAATTGCCTTTGTATAGCGTCGGAGCAGGCACAACAGCTCTTGGCTCTCAGGACTTGCCAGCTGCTCAACGTGAAGTTGCTGCAGCAGTTGGAGCTCGATCAATCCACTCGGATCCTGACTACCCGACCTGTGCTTACTGTGGCGCAGTTTCGGCAACGCCACCGTATATTGGCAGTCGGGAAATGCAACCTGCAACTTGTGGCCCAGGCAGGCTCTTTGATCCTTCTGAGAGTGATGCAAATTTGCTTCGGTTATCCAGTGGAGGACGTGGTTCTCCATTTTCCAGGCTTCGTCCAGGCCAGAACCGCTACTTCCTGAAACTATTGTGTGCTGGCCAATACTGCGCTCCCAGATGATGCAGTTTTTGATGGGCAACCTGCGAATTTCATACTTCAGATCGGCGGAGTTTATTTGCTGCAAAAGCTCCTGTCCAACCGGAATGTCCAAGAAACCAGCGTCTATAACCATACGCACATATTTCTGGCATTCTCCTGGTTTGATTCGCTTTTGTTGCTCCCGTATCACTTGCTTTTTTAACTTGTCTAATTTACTCGACATTTTTTACAAACAATTTGCGCCATTTTAAGCCAGATTTGGAAAACGATAGTTATCATCGATACGCAACTTCATTGCGATTGTTTTGTCACGTGCGAGTAATTGTCACCTGCCGTTGTTAATTGGCACTGTATTACGTTTATACGCATTTTTTTCGCGATTTAACTCAAGTTTTTATCTTGTTTAAATAAAGGAAGTTTAAGCGGGCTTATTTTCTATTTTCATCGGTATATTTACGATATATTTTGAAAGTGAGACGGTATATTTCTGCGGGTGAGACTTTTACTTTTCGGTATTTATTGTTGTTTGTTTCGACATTTATTTCTATTAAATTTCATTTTCAACGGTATATAGAAAGTATATTTACGGTATATTTTTGAAATGAGACGGTATATTTTGGTATATTTCTGTGGGTCGATATTTTATCGATAAGTCCGATAAAAACTACAAAGCACGCACGTGTTTTTTTTATTTACTGCGAAATTTATTGAATTTTCTCACCAAAATGTATCTCATGTACACCATCAACGAAAGCGGCAACCGCGTGTACACTTTGAAGGTAAATGAAAAGTTCTCCAGCTTTTCTAGTGTGTTAAACTTATATGTTTCGTTGATATTGCAGAAACGCACCGAAGATGGTCGTCCGACCTTGTCGGCCCATCCAGCCCGTTTCTCTCCGGAAGATAAGTACTCCCGCCAGCGCATTACCATCAAGAAGCGCTTTAGTCTGCTGCTCACACAGAAGCCTGAGCCCGTGTACTAAGACAGAGCAGAGTTGAATTTTAATTAGGGTACATGTGTATTTACAAATAATAAGTTTACAAATTTTCAATGAACTAAACAAATCGCTTTTAAATACGTCGCTTTAACCCCGCCGTGTAGTCAAACAGTTGGGGATTACGAAATTCTCCACGCATATCGAGCACGTAGTAAAGTGTCCTGTCCTTCACCTTGATTGGCAGTTGTACCCTGGCCATTTCACGGGACTCTTGCGCTGAGATGCATTTAAGTGGGACAGTCATGATACGGTTCCTGTTAAAGGGTCCATAGGTAACAAAGGAGATGCTCTGACCGCCCTTGCGCAGGATGAGAAAGCGCACGGAACGAAGTGTGAACATCCAAACCGCAAACAGAATTCCGTATCCTATAAATTTATAAAGACATAATTTGCTTCGAACCACACCATCAATTCCAAATACGAACCAATCAAAAAGCAGCAAGCAGTGATGCCGTTCCTGTACTTGTTGTCGCCAAGATTTATGCGCTGAAACCACTTCAGCTCCTCTCCTGGCTTCTCCACCACTGGCGCATCCTTCAGCGTTGTAAACGCAAAATGGGAAAGATAGGTCCAGAACACAAATTGGCAGATTCCGAAAAAGTTCAGCATCTTGTAGAACTTTGGATTCTCATATTTAAACAGGATTAAGTCCTTTGGTACGCTTGTGCTCACATCAAACGGCGCAGCTCGAGTCGAATAGTTTTTAATTGCGCCAGAAACCGGCGTTTTGTTAACCACATACGGAACTGTTAGTCGAAAACATGGCAGGCTGTGTCGTGTCAAAAAACTTGCACCCTTTCTTAGGGCAAAGTTTATGAGATTACTCATTTTAATTGATATTTCTGGGATTTGATTGGCATTTATTATAAAACAAAATAACCTACAAACAGATGTTTATGTTTTCATGCGAACGAACCGGAACTTGTTTCATACCAGAGCTTCAGGGGTGGCAGCAGTGGTTGGTGTCTACGCGAGCCGAGTGAACTATCGATTTTAAATACTGATTCGTTTTATTATATATCATGTGTAATTGGCGATTATAAAGTCAACATTCATAGCTCCAAAAAAAAAACATGTTCGTCATACTTTCACTGATTGATCAGAATTGAGTTTCTTGCATTGTCTATTACTTCGCTTAGTAAAAATGGTTCCTTTTGTTGGTACTTTTCCACCCCTAGAAGCGAACAGATGTTTTGTTTCGGATAAGGTGAAAGTACTTTGGATCTAGTAATGGTTGAACTGGTTCTTTTCTTACTCTTTTGTTGTTGCTACTCCGATTTGGTCACTGTTCCAGCGAGAAGCGGCATCGGCTATCGGGACGCGGATTCCTTGCGGATTTGTAAACAAATCTGTTAAAAAAACTGTTAACGAGACTTAAACTATTGAATATCAACCTGAGAAAGCTTGGGTCATCGTAAAATTTGCCTTATAACAACTATAATCCAGTTAATAAACACGTTTATCGCGTCTAAGAAGGTAAGTGCTCATTTTTCTTGAGACTATTATATTTTAAAGTTGTTTTAACTTGTGTACCAGTATTGGCTCTAGAATATAAGCTACTAATTTGCTGGTTTATTGGAATTACACTTTGTGTGATCCAATTTGGATTGTTTCGTTTGTCGTCACCATTCCCAAATCATTTGTTTGTGTGTTTCAGAGTTGTCAGGCAGTTTCGTTTTGGATATGTTGATATGTATATAGTATCAAATCAGATCTATCTTTTCTAACGATTATGTTGAAAAATCGACATGTGCCCTTGGCATAAGCACCTGTTCCCAACAGCTTAACAATAGCCATTAAGCACATATATATCTGTTGAGCTGTCTGACCTATTGCAGGTGACAACCCTGCTCCACAATATGGTCACAATTATATATTTACATATAAACGTATATGATTTTCCATTCTATTTAATATTCCACAACCAGAGTTGCAGACCTGGCAACCATGCAAACATTAATATGTTTAATAGATGAATAAAAATGTTCCCCTTTTGCTTTTACTTTTGGCTGATGCTAGTTTGGTTGAGTTTTATTTTTCGCGCTTTGGCAATGTTATCTTAGATCCTTATAAAGAATGCTATGAAGATTACATGCATGTCCTCAGATCTCTAGAATTTTCGGGAACGTAGATATTTTTCAACCTAACCTCACTTTGTACCAAAATCGATACGTAACCTAAAAAGAATGTGAACGCGTTGCAAAATTGCATACACACACACAGACATTCTGATATACACACGAGCTCACACACACACAATTGCTTAAGCGGGCGTAATCGTGAGTGTGAGCGAAACAGATATAATGAACATAACGCCCAAGAGGGTCGAGACCGAGCCATAGATGAAATTCCGATTTTTAAAGCCAATTGTCCAGTTTAGCTTTTTTCGTTATATGCAAAGATGCAAAGATACATTTATCTATGTTAGTATCTGTTTGCTTGTGCAAACACTTATGTATGAGTAAATCAAATACTATTCGAGGAGAACGGGATATTCTCATATTGTTAGGGAATAGGAATGGGATCATACGCATCCAACTCCCCTGGTAGGACCAACTTTCCACATAGAGTTAGAGTTACAAGATTCCACAAGAAAATATGGCTATCCTCGCAACAATTTGTTTTTTCGTTGGTCTGGGAAGTTGCTTTTCCACTCTGCTGCTGTATCTTTCGGTTCGTTCCAACAACAATTTTGTCGTTTTGTGTTCGGCGCTACGCGAACTTTATTCAATTATATCTACATGCATACATACATACATATAGCTGCATATATGAATGTATTCTCTTATTCTCTCGTACGCTCTTCACCTTACTCTCTCGCTCTCATTCCATCTCGCTCACTCTTCAACTCTATTCTAAACCGGTATCCTGACATGGTCCTAACTGCATTAAAAACCCTAGATTCCAAGTCTTAACGTTAAATTTTATATTCGGCAGACATTATTTTCATAACACCAACCCAACGCAACCCCACCCCACCCCTCCCACTTTTCTATTATGACGGCTAGTTTTACAAACAAAGCTATGTACATATGTATGTATGTTTGTATACTTTTTAATTTTTTCCCTGGTAATTGGTATTTAGTGTTTAATAATCTTTGAATTCGGAACTAAAACAAATACTAAATATATTTATTTAATTTACGCTCCCCCCTTACATTTCAATCACCAAATCATACGGTCGTCCCGCTCTCGCAGACTATTCTCACATTTTACCCTCCCACTCGCACACACTCAAGCGCATCTGTTTGTAAAAACGCGGCGCTACCTTTGCCATTATTTTACGTTTGCTTTTTCTTTGCGCTGTTATCAAAACGGTGCGGGGTTGACTCGTCAACCAACGAAGATCCCTGGTCAATTTAAAAACCCCCTTACCCTTACCCTTACCCCGTACGACCATCCAGTGGGTCAACGACGTCATGAACGAGACTGCCAACTTGCTATGGCGAAACCCGTAAAACATCGTCTGCGAGGTGCTGTAGACTCTAGGACATTTTAAGGTGCAACTGTGGCCAGAGTTCTTTGCTGCCCTACAAAATCAGCACAGACATCGACATATGTACATACATTATGTACGGCTGGAAATAAGCGTAAGGGCTTTAAGATGGATGTTAAAGTGATTTCCATTGTAGAATTACTATCGTGTCTTATCGTCCCACTTTGACACGCCCTCTTTCCCTAGACCACCGACCACCATACTGCTGTACGTGCTCTCTTCCTCTCTCGCCGCTTTCAGCCGAAACTATTCTCTCTTTGCGCTCGTCGTCAGCTGGTTTGACGTTCGGTACGGCACTGTGTTTCAGTGCTGCCGTGAACTCGGCGAGAACTCCAAGTCATTTCGATTTCTTCAAGTGTAGTTAAACTCAAATAATAAAATACCAAGCAAAACAATTCAAGCCGTCCAAGTTTTCTTATAATAAGTAAGTAACCTCAAACAATAATTCGATACAAATGCAAATATATAATGTGCAGGCACAGTTTTCTGACATAACATAACCTCACTTTTGTTATTATTATAGCGACGATTCTGAAAAATTTTTCCTTTACGTCCCGTCCCGTCCCACACATTGTGCATGTTTCGCCTTTCCTCCAGTTTCTTTTAGCTTTCTTTCTCTTCTTTTTGCACGCCGTTTCCCTTGCTTTGCTTTGTTTCTTTCTGCTGCAATCACTTCGTTGTGTTGTTGTTGCGCTCGCGTTCGCCGACAAGCGAACGACGACCGACCGCTCGGAACAAGCAACAACAACACATGGTTTTGTTTGATAGATACACACCGAAACCGAAATAGCGCAAAGCGTCAGGCAGAAAGCTGGTGGTCTTGAGTTATATTTCTGGTTTGGAGTTTCGATTTTTGGGATCAGTGGTTTAGATAGTGTTACTATCTATTATTAGGAGATAAAAAAACAATAATTAAAAATCCCTTAGCCGCCTTGTCTCGCCGAAATATGGCGGGTCTTCCCCGGGCTGGATGGGTGTTCCAGGGTTTGTCCCTTGGACGTTAGTAGGCCTAACTTTGGAAGACATGAGACATGCTTTGTAAACCCAATTCTTGACCTTTGCACCAATCAAGCCGAAAGTTCGCAAAGCTCGCACAAGCTTTTCCCTCAAAGCTTTTAATGCTTTAAGGTTTTTAATTTACGAGGAATCATTCCTTTGGTAAACCATTGCACGTTTGATCCGGTTCTCAGTTGCTGACATTCCTTTTCTTAAATTGTTTAACAGTTCAATGCTTTGCAACCACAAAAAATAAAAAAATAAACACCATAATAAAATGATGGAAGTAAGTCAGAACGTGGAATTAGAAGAACTCTCAAAAGAAGGCGCAATCATGGGAGCAATCCCCGAGGAACTCATTGATAATAACAGCCCCAGTGGTAAGTGAAAATAAAATAAAAATAAAAAAACGAATCTTTTTTATGCCATAAATTGTTACAGAAATCGGTAATGGATCGGGACGATCGTCCAGGGATGACGAAGATTTCAATGAAGTGACTAATGGCGACGAAACAATAGCAATCGCCTGTCTCAAGACAACAGAGGGCTTGAAAGAAAAACGAAAC